AGTAGTAAAATGAAACAAAACAGCGCTATATCATCGCAAAGATATCGAATCCTATTGCTAGAGTTATAGCCAGAAAAGATAGGCGGTGGCTCTGCTGCCGATATGCCCTTTGTATCTTTGTTTTTAATAATATTACTTTATCGTGAAATCCGATAAAGGATTTTATTAAAAACAAAGATACCTTGCTTTGGGCACCGCTGCACTAAACGATAAATAAATCAAAGAATGTCTTATTTACAGATAACACCGACATAATTACTTATTATTACAAGGAAATATTTTTTTATTGCGTCAGTACTTAATGTTATTACGTTTAAATTAAATGAACACAAATGTAATAGCATATTTTGTTAAATTACGGAGGTTGTTTAAATTGCGTTTAGAGAATAATATAAATACCTGTAGGCACTAATTTACCTATAACTATTATTATGAAATCACATGTACTCTTTACGATTAAGCGTAGTATTTTATAATTTATTACCATCGTCGTAGGCAGACAAGATGCAGGATACGAGGAGGAAATATGAGTAAATATTTTGCTGGTTTAGACGCATTTTTTAAATGGATCTAAAAGGCTATTTTACAACATTCCGTATATTATTACAAATCATTGGAATGGATCTTGTCTTAACGCGTGCTGTCATTGTAACTACGCGGTCATAATTCAGAACGGAAGGCCAGAAATTCTGATCCGATCATGCAAATTCTTTCACCTACGGGGAGCTCTTACGCGGGTGACATCTCGCGGTACATGTGGCTGGTGGATGTTTAAGCAATTTTGATTAAAAATATATGTGTCGCATCATCTTTACGAAGATCGTTTGATTTAGTTACTTTTTTAAATTGCTAGTTACTCCATTACTTAATTACTCGATTGTAGAGAGAGCGTGATCATCGATACTTCTAATTTTATTAGAATGGTGACACTGACTTTGACAGTTCGTTAACAAAAGCTAATTGCCGCCATTTTGGCACACATTCTGTTTCCGATCGCCGAGGAGTAAAGACATCCGACGACATCACGCTCATCTCGTTATATTTTCGTATGATAAGTGATAAAATGGAACAATCCACGTTGGTATACACGCCTGCAGTGTTATTTTAAAGATAGTCCTCCGATATGTACCATTTATTTGGGCTTCGTAATAGCCCCTTCTGACTTCCCGTCGACATATATATAAAACCAGCTTTCCACCAGCGATTCGCTCGCGTGATCTCTAGGGAACTGTTTTTTTGGATATGAAACATATCATGACACGGATATAATTACAATGACAATTGAATAGTAAAGAGTTACAACGGCAACGTTTTAATTCCTATATACACTTCCGCTCCCATTTATCCCTTCCCATTCTTTCCCATAATCCATTTATTTACTGGTTTTTCGGGATAAAATATAGTCTATGTTGACCGCATATCATGTTACATCATAAAGATGAAAGAAGTTTTAAAATCGGTCCAATAGTTTTGGAGTTTATTTGTTGCAAATAAACAATCAAATCTTTCCTCTTCTTAAAACTAGTAAAGATTGCCTTTAAATACCTTTTCACAATTAGACTCATAAAGGTCCTTCAGCAAATTTCTTCGACCGCACCGATTAGGGTGATGTAATCCACTTGATCCAATAAATATTATTTCAATTAAAATTTAAATTATCTGTTTAATAATTGTCGTTATTTACAATGTCAAACAAACATTTGATAATGATTTATATAAGTGTATTTTTAACATAAATAATGAGATAAGTTTCGCTATGAATATAGAATTAACATGCTAAAATATCAAATTAAGTAAACACGGATAGTTACTTAAATAGTTGATAAAATTGTTCAAGGCGAAAAGGACACATTCCAAGTTCCATTTTGTATTATTGATAAAATATATCACACTAATGACGTAATAGCAATATACGTATTAATTAGGAAATAGCTGATTTTATTAAGTATAGCATTATGAATGTAAAATTTATAATTTTTTTTTTTATTTTATATTTATTCAGTCTAGGCTGTTACAAGCACTTGTGAAAGTCGAGAGCTACGCCAACGGTTCGTAAATCTACGGCGGGAGACCTTGTATCGAGAAGAACCGGCAAGAAACTCGGCAAGGGCTGCTTTTTTCTCCCTGTTTTATTTCATACAGAGCGTCAAGATTGAAAAATGACTTCATTAAAATTTGAAGTCATTTGAAGTAATGGAAAATTACAATATTACACAATATTAAGAGTAAAACAGTATTTTCGTCAATCCAATCACATTTGTAGCCAAAGAAGCTCACCGATTAACAATTTAATATATATGAAAAATGAGCCATATTTAACTCCAAGTAGTTTTGTCGTTTAAAACAAATGTTCATCTTAATCGGAAATTTAAAATATTTGTAAAAATATTTCTTTGGCTGTTTGGGAGGATTGCACGATCATTGATGAAAATACACTCTGTAATACCGAAAAAGTAGCAAGTGCTTGAAAAATTCGTCAGTCCTGTTAGGTCGTGGATAGCTCAGTGTTTTAAGCAGTCGCCCAGACTGCGAAAGGTCATGGGTTCAAGTCCCATCTCAAAGTGCCAAAGAAGAAGTGGATATTTAAACATATTTCATTAAGGATATATTTCAGTATAATATTGTGTATGCGAAATTGATCGAATTTAATACAAAATGCTCAAACCAGCAGTAACTTAAAGTTTATTTTGTCATTGGCAAAATAACACTCTTTGATAGGTGGACATACATCCATTAGTCTTATATGTTTTTTTTAAGAGTGTCATTATAATGTATTGAGAGTTTCTTGGAGCCGGCGCTGGTTATAGGTATATTCCATTCAATAATGAGACAGATAACGTAGTACACAACATAACGTAGTATAGTATGTCTAAAATCTTGTCTTTTAATTTACAAATCATAGGTCTGGTTCTCCATAACCAAGTAGCTTAAACGCTAGTTTCAAGGTCTCTTCTAGGATCCTAAGTTCGATTACTGGCCGGGTTAATGTAGAAAGTGAATAATATATTGTCTCAGGTCTGGGTGTTGCGTTACCTTCGTTGATTCAGATTTCCATAATACAAATGCTTTAGCTATTTACCTTGCGATCTAAGAAATGTACCTAAGAAATGTAAAATATATTTTCATATTTTTTTTAATAAAAGTAATCATTAGAAAAGTCATCTTACCTATTATATACCTACAAAGAAACCCGTTCTTTTTGATTATTCAATAAAAACACAACAACAATCCATTAATATCTACAAATTTCCAAATAAACATTGTAAAAACCAGGTTTTCAGATACATGTCAGTTGTCGATAACATTAGAAATCACGCGCAAATGCATGACGTTAAAACTTTTTAAGCAGATAATGTACCTTGAGTATATATTTTATTTATTTTTAGAAGTATTTTTAAACTATCGAATATGAAAACATCTATCGAATAGTTCACTCTGACCATAACAACATTTATTGATCATTATGACACTGGATTTCCTGAGAAACTCGGGAAAATAGACTACTCAAACAATATATCACAGCCTTGCTATTCTGCAATTAGTCTCGGACTCGAAGTTGAGTTCAGCCCCGAGATTAAAAATCCGAACCCGAATTCGAATCATACTCGAGTGTGTCGAATTAATTTCAAAAGCTGCTTCCCCTCAACCTCGAATTGGTGGCACATTTCGTGACATAGGTGAAATGAGTTTCAAAATGACATAGGGATAAAATATCTGAGACACGTAAAAAGATTCGGACACTTGAGTGAACTCGAATTCGGGTTTGGATTTTTAACAGAATCGCAGGGCAGCAGCATAGAGGTTGAATGAACCAAAACTTTACCTTTTGAAGTAAGCTTTATTATCATCGAACCTCCTTGCAGTAGTAGGTATATGGATACTGAAACAACTTGAGAAATGCCTTAAGGAAATATATTTTATAGTCGCACCCCTGATGCTTTGAGAAAATTGCTTAATCCTGTAACTTTGCCTACATCGTTAGCCAATTAATATCCCCGTTGTAAGGTCACAGGCATTCACTATGCATGGAATCGAATAAGAAGAACGAGCCATAAGGCTATAAGGCACCACGCAGGTCCAGTGCGGATTGCTAGATATTAAAGACAGCAAATGTAGAGACCAAAGGCCTAAGCACGGAGTAGCTCGTTATAATTAATTTTAGATCACCCATTCTATAACCGATCCTTGCGGAAGCTCCTTTCCTCTTAACGTAATATATATATAGTATTAAAATATATATGTAGTATTATTTTATTTAGATACACAATATGTACCATCGAACAACCGACAATATATTGCGCATTAAATAAAGTAGTTAAATATTGTCTGGTAAGCAGAACAATGTTTATCAACAACCAAGTATTTAAAGAATCTGTAATACAGCATTAATGAATATTACCAATTTAAGGCTGCGCATAAAAACAAAGAGAAAACAAGATCAACGCGTCCGCCAGTGAGACAGATAAAGACAGAGGATGCCGTATTGAGTAATATAACACGAAATATAAGTATTTTTAATTCATTACACACAAACCCAATTTTTCCAATTATTTGTTACATTTCTCAATCATAACTCACATGTTAAAGTGACTCATATGTTAATAAATTTTCCTTATAATAAAAAATATAATAACATAGAGATAATATAAATTCAATTCAATGATAATGTAATTCTCGTCAGTAATTTATAGCTTTTATGGATTTCAAAATAAGTCGAGAATTAGAGATTTTAAAGTTCTGCGCATCAAAAGGAAAACAATGTAACTCTTATTATGATCACTTGGTTAGTTGTCAGTCGCAGATGTTTTTCTCTGAAACTACTAGGGTACTCAACCCATTCCGGCTCCCATACAAAGTCGACTAACTTTATTCCGAGATTTCAGAACTATAGTTCATACTCTTGGTGCAATTCTTTTTCCAGCCGCGGACTGGGTGTGACTGGGAGCACTATGAAATTAGTTAAAATTATATATTTGATTATGATTTTTTTTTTGCAGAAGCAACACCAATCGGATGCTGCATACACACTGCAAACCTGAGCCGCCCCCTGCACGCTCATGAGGTATATAATCTTTATAGACAATCTTTGTAAAAATCTTACAAAACGTTTTACTAAAGAAGGGAGTGTGTTGTGTTTAGGGCATTTAAGCTTAATATGTGAGTTTCTTTATTCCACGATATTTTTTGAAAGACCTATCGGATATCATTAGAAATATTACATCTGCTCAAATGGCACTGGCGAAATAAATTATTTGTTACACATTCAATATGACGGATGGATGGCGCCATTTTCATTTTCTTTATTTATTTCTCGTTTTATCGAGGAGGTCGATGGCGTAGTGATTAGCGCGCTCAGTCTGCGATACGGTTAAATAACTTTCGCAAGGATCGGTCAAAGGGTGTGTGTGCAAAAATTTATTATCTCAAGTTACTTCGTGCTTCGGAAGGCACGTTTAAGATGTTGATCCCGAATGAATCTGCAATCGTTAATACCCATCAATCTGCAGTCATTAATACCCATCAATCTGCACTGGGCCCGAGTGGTGAATCATGGCCAGTTCGCTTTAATTCAAGTCCATCCATTGGAAGGCACTAATAAGCTGGTGATGTGATAGCAATTTGGGTAACAAATTAAAGGAGTACATTCCAAAAATACATATAAAACTTGTATAAAAATTAAAAAACACGACTGCTATATTCGAACTAAAAATAAAAGAAACAAGTTTGTATTATGCTATCGCTAAACAAAATTCTCATTGCAGTAGAGGGGCCGTTCTGCGAACCTTTTGTAATCTAAGGGGTCCCCTCGAGTGCAAAAAATTTTTTGTCTTTTTTATCTTGTCTTTTATTTTCTGACATTAATAAAATTATGAATCATAATTGTAAGATACAAAATTCCTGAAGTTTCGCTGGGTAAATTTATTATAGGTAGGTTTGAACACAATAATCCGATATTAATATAAGACGCGTTTTCTTCTTTTACAGGAGCGATTGTGCGCTATGGGCGGTATATGCTGCGCTGGCGCTGCTAATGAGCGCTAGCGCAGATCCTTTAGCAAACGCAAGTATGTTAATACTACAATACAATCTAGTGACACTTATATTTAATATGAGTAGTTTCATTTTATTAACGTATGCTCAACAGTTGATGAAAGCGAGGACTTCAACGTTGCCGTGTACGGTATTGGACCAGATGCATCTGAAACTAGCGGTGCGGCTTTGGCTGGAGTTGCAGCACTTGTACTACAAACAGCGGGTCTGCACGCTGAGCCACAGACTCCACCTGTAGCCTGCATTACACCAAACGCTGTTCCCGATGCCTGCGTTGCCGCCTCGTTGTCAGCATTATCTGCTGGCCGTGCACACGCTGTGTTAATGCCTGTCCGCGCGACTGGCGTGCCCTCTGCGCCACGACTGCGCGATTCTGGCCTCGAAGAGCTTGGAGATGCTGCGCCACCCTGGCGCCGCACTTGTCTCGTTACTGCCCCACCTGCGCGTTCCCTGCTCGACTTAGCAGACCCGCTAATTGCATCCGCCTACCACTTAACACAACAAGACTTGAACGACGTCGGGTGAGTAACACTCCTAATGATACCATTTTCAAACAAAAAAATAATTGACAGAAATATTAACTATTACCGTATATCTTTCAGATACCGATGTCAATCCAAAAATTGCACGTTCGTGCCAGAACGGTGCTCCAGTGAAAACGTTACATGTGCATCCTTACTGACCAGTGATGAAAGTGAAAAAAACGTTTTAGCAGTTATAGTGAGTGATAATGACTTATATGCTAATGTCATTTCCCTAGGACCTCGATTTTTGAAAATCGTTGAGCGTCTTGAGAATCATGCTCTTTTAGTCTGTGATCAAACTTTACATTTGGCATCTTTGGGCCATCTTCCAACAAGAGTACTCGGTCCTCCGCCATGTCAAGGTACAAGTCCGTGTCCATTCGAAGCTAATCGATTAATAAAAATTGCAAATGTGCGTTTACTTGCACGTTACCCGAGTGCTTTACGCTCTCTTGTCCATCTCTCGTTTACGGCTGAAGAACTAGCTAATTTAACGTCGCTTGCCACGAGTGGACCAGAAGCAGCGGCACATGCGTATGTCGCTACACATCCATCATCTACGTGGCCTGGAGAGGCACGCGTAGCAGTACTCTTGCCTGCCAGCACAATGCGAGTCGCCTACGAAGCCAGTTCGTTCGAAGCCGCTGCTGAGCTCGTGGAGAGAGAATTGGAAAATGAACGACAACCACGTGCGGCACGTTTCAAAGTGGAGGTGTTCGACGACGCATGTTCCGCACCACGGGCATACAAGTATCTAACGGACGCCCTGGGAACTGGAGAATACGGTGCGCTGTCTGCGCTAGCAGGTCCAGCTTGCGGAGCCGCTTTTGCTGATGTGGCACGACAAAGCCCCGCGCATGCTTTACCAGTGCTTGCATATACACCGCAAGCTCCGCCCCCACCTCCTGCCACTGCGTTGGCGCTACTCGCAGCTGGCGATGCTCGACAGTACTCTGAATTGTGGGCCGCGTTACTGACACGGATGCGCTGGCGACGACTAGGAATACTCAGTGAACCTGCCACGCACCCGTCTCTCGACGTCGCGCGACTTCAAACTTATGACGTCACACACTTTGAACTCGTCGATGATGGCACTAATATTCATAAAGACCTCATTTCACAAGTAAGTAAAATAATATATTTTTTATGATATGATTTTAAAATTGAATTACTTGCGATAGGGTATTTCCATTTTATGTTTGAATAATATTCAGACACTGCTTAAAGTTTGATTATCATATCTCGGAATACAATCAATAAACGATAGTATATCATTAACAATGGCCAAAAGCAAAACATAATCGATAAAAGAATCAGTACGTTTACTACTGAATGCGATCAATACGAAATATGCATGATGATAAATAAAATGTAATTGAAGTCCAAACATCAACTCTGATAAGTATAAAAAATACTGGCTGAATACATAATAGTCAATAATAATTCATATTACAGTGGGCAAAACGCGCGGCTACGTCAAATATACGAATAGTGTATGTCTGCCTAGAAGATGCTCGCGAAGTAAGAGCTGCATTGTGCGCAGGACATGCAGCGGGCCTTACACCATCCGCCGGCACCGTGTGGTTGCTGCCGGGCACGCTGCCGGACGGTTGGCTTCAACAAGATCACGCAGAGTAAGCATAACACTAGTATCTAATATGAAAATGTTTAAAGGTGTCCAAGATGGGACTCAAACTTTCCCCTAACTGAAAGACAACTTTAACAGGTTCCTCCACCATACCTTTACGGGACTGCTGAATTTTTCAAATACGTGTTTCTTTCGTTGCTGGTGAAAAATATACAAGTTTCACTAACTTGCGTTCCTTTATTGATACAACGTTACTATCTATGCAGAACTGATGAATGCGGAGCACTAGCAGTGGTAGCAGAAGGTCACCTGCGAGCTGTACCTGCTTGGTTAGCAGAATGGGGTGGACCGCAGCGTGCAGACTGGGAGAAACGCTGCCCAGGTTGCCGGCCGCGTGCCGCCCTGCTGTATGATGCGTTGCGGCTATGGGCCGCTGCATTACGACGCCTACTTGCCGCAAAACCAACCTCACTGGACGATTTGCATCGGCCAGATCTCGTCAGGTAAGAAATTGTCCCAATTCACATTTGTTCACGACTCCTCTCTTTTCATAAGAAAAGAGGCGTAGACAACTTTTTTCAATTTGATATGAGAAATTGTAGACATATAGATTGGTAAATACCACAGATATAATTAATCACAATACGTATTATATTATGTTATCATCAGAATCTTAGGGAATTCCAAAATATTTTATTTATCTTTCAGGACACTCATCAATGACTTGACATCAACTAATTACACAGGCCTAACCGGTACTTTCAAATGGGCATCTACTGATGGAGTGCATGCTCGATTGGTGCCTCTGGTAATTCAACAATGGAGAAATGGGTCCTACATTGACGTAGGCAGATGGAATGGAAGCGATTTGTCCCTCGACATGTCAGTGTTGCGCTGGCAAACGAGCGACGGTCGTATACCCGATGACGGCAGCGAGAACTGTGGATTGCAACAACTGGCTGACCTGCTTGGTGGGGACTGCCGTACAGCTTTCATCGCACTTGCGGCACTATTATTAGCAGCGTTGGTGACTGCTTTAGCTTCACTCGCAGTGTATTGCCGACGACGTACTGAGCGGGAATACCGCGCGCACCTCGAAGCCCTCCGTCTACGAACATACGGATTAAAGCCCGGCGGTCTTGATCGCTGGGAGCTCCCACGTGAGCGAGTCGTCATCAACAGAAAACTCGGCACCGGGGCATTCGGAACTGTCTACGGCGGTCACGCGTTACTCGCTGAAGATCGGGGCTGGACCGCGGTTGCTGTAAAGACACTGAAAGCTGGTGCTTCTACTGAAGAAAAACTCGACTTCTTATCAGAAGCAGAGGCTATGAAACGTTTTGATCATAAAAATGTAGTGCGCCTATTAGGTGTAGTGACAAAGACTGAACCTGTGTGTACTGTGATGGAATTCATGCTTTACGGAGATCTGAAAAATTATCTACTGGCGAGGCGACACCTCGCTATTGAGGGTGGTTTTGGTGCGGAATCTAATGAAACGGCAGAAGAGGTGTCACCCCGGCGGCTCACTAGTATGGCGTTGGATGTGGCACGTGCATTATCATATCTGGCGCAACTGCGCTATGTACATCGTGACGTGGCAGCACGAAATTGCCTCGTAAGCGCGCATCGCGTCGTCAAGCTCGCAGATTTCGGCATGACTCGGCTGGTCTTTGAAAATGATTACTATCGATTCAGTCGCAAAGGCATGCTGCCCGTGCGATGGATGGCGCCAGAGAGTCTGGCATTGGGCGTGTTCTCGCCAGCATCAGACGTATGGTCATTCGGTGTGCTGCTCTACGAGATTGTCACTTTCGGCTCATTGCCATTCCAAGGACTAAGCAACAGCGAAGTTCTTGCTCGTGTCAAAGCCGGTAACACATTGGAACTCCCAACCGGATTGAAGCCACAACTGTAAGTCCATACAATATTCTCTTATATTTACTTGTACATGTCATTTCATTTCTCTCTTTAAACATTTTGTTTTATTCTAAATCAGGTATATTAAAAATTTAGTATTTATAAGTTCAGAAGCAGGATAAGCAGAATATATAGCAGCGATATGAAGGCAGCGATGAACTGACATCGGTCAGTTCATCACTGCCTTCATCCGAATAAATAAAATCATTCAAAATCAGTTTAAATGTAGTTTAAATGCTCCGTAAATTTTCTGTTAACAATGCATGAATCTGATTAAATAATTGTTCTTGTACCAGAGAGGGATTAATAAAGTCCTGTTGGCGGCAAGACTACAAGACACGACCGGCGGCGTCTGAAGTGACTGCGTTCTTAGCGGATTCGCCGCGTCTACTAACACCGTGTCTGGATGTACCATTAGACTCTATGCCACTTGACGCTGAAACGCCGTGGCGCACAGCCAGGGATCGCGCTGAGGTATGACAACCATGGCAAATCTTAATAACACATTCAAAATCTTCCGTGTTCAAAATTCCGCTTCACAATTCTGTGTCGTGTGTGCACCCCGCGATTATTGTCAAAGAAATTGCATTTCCACATTAGCTCTAAACCGCCAATAAATAAGATAAAGTTTTTAAGTTTTCATATTGCTAACAGGCTCGCTGGGTATCGTGGGCTGCACCGCCGTCAGCAGCTACTGACACTACATACCTGAGTGCCGACGGGCAAGTGCCACAAGAAAGTGATGTTTTCTTGCCCTGACAAAGCCAAAAGAATAAATTCCTACTGTTGTACCTCTTTAACAGACATGATGGACGAAACAAAATGAGCCATTATAACCTCATATCATGGATTGTTTACTATGATCTAAGATTACCAAAACCGCTGGGCAGCTGTCTGGTCTCATATGTGGATATATCAGAAGAAATTAAAATATATGAAACTCACAATATTCCACTCACAAAATTTTGTAATTGTTTTCATTGTGTGAAGTATTTCTACGAAACGTAGTTATGGAATGCATATTTCTTGATTGTACTTTTGCTGACGGATAATAAATTTTGTAAATATATAGTAAATAGAATATGGAACCGAAAAACTTAAGAGACGCTAATAACTATTATAGAAAAAGAACAAGATGTTAATGTGAAAAATGTGAAAGTTTAGTGCCGTAAGTATATTATGTGAACTGAGTGAAAGATGATCGTATGAACACTCGCACACAATGACCAAATGTTTTCGATGTTAGCCCGAAAAACCTACATAGACAAATATAGGCAAAACAATAAAATGTACCTAAACTAACCACATTAGCATCAGCGTAATTAGGAGGTGCCACCTCCCTATTGACGGATGACTGAACCAATCCCTGTCCATATTCCTGGAACAAAACTCAAACACCTAGATAATATACTATACTTACATACTTGATGGTTTTAATATTTGTGATAAATTCGTGAATATTTATAAGATTTTTAAAAAGGTTTAGTACAAATCTTCACCACGAGCTTTAATGCTCTGTCTCAAGTAAGGCAGAATTCTATTCACATTCTCATTTCCATCTGACTATCCAGAATCAGAATTCATTTATAAGTACTAAATGATATATCGCAAAAATGTGATGTGCATAATCAATTAGAGTTGTGGAGATGTCCATCGTACCTACAACCGTAAGTGGATTTGCTCTAAGCATTTGTGGACCCTACCTTAGACACGGCGTCGATGATTTGACAAAAAACGCACCATAAAACTTACGTTCCGATAATGACTACAGAAAATTATACTAGATAGAGTTATTACTTTACAAACTATATATTATTTCTCTAAATATGTCATTTTATTACGTCAATACATAATTTGATAAAAAAATATAGGATGTTGATTGGTAAAACAATGTAAATTACACTTAAATAACGCAAAATACATTACTTGTCACATAGTTATTTTTAATTCTTGATTCATTTCTGCGATTTGAGAATTAGTTACAGAAATTCCTAGGTTTATAATTTGTTGGATTAGAATAAGCGACCTGTTTTATTCTGTTGTACTTGGATAAGGCAGCTTATATATTTTTAAATTGATATGTTTCACATGATATACATTCAAATCTTTGTCTCTTGTGAAGTAATGTTTGCGAACTGAAATGTTTGTCAAATAGTTAGTGTTCATAATATTATTTTGTTTGTTATTGGTTTTTGTCAAAATCTTTAGACACGCTGACGTACATATAATGTTTAAGGGCCTATAAATCCATCACTCCTACCTCAATATAGCTGCTCGATAGCCACTCTACTTTGCTACTACTTTGATCATTCCGAGATTATTCTAGTCATTTTATTTATTTTAAGCTGTTTGATTAATTAATTGATATTTTTGTAAATATTATTATACATTTTATAGTTCCTGTTCTTGCGTTTTCATTTCATCCCAAAACCTATATAACGATATTCGAATATGGGAAATCAGAAGAAGAAGACACCCCAAAAGTATCTCGTCCTCGTGTGGCATATCTTAAACTCTAAGGAGCAAGTAAGTTTGTAGGCCTACCCTTGATAAAATTGCTCTCGACCAGGAAAACCTCATCTAAAAAAAAATCCTGGGTAAGCTACTGTGAGAAGCAATGCAGATCACGAGAGGATGTCATGATTAAATTTAAGAAGAGTAAAAGTAAAGTTCTAAAAAGTAATAAGTTACAAGTTACATACGCCTAGGGGTAATAATTTCTTGAAATTTTGTAATAAATAAATATTAGACAAGATCACCTACATTGCTTAGATTCCAAGATGAGCAGCTAAAGCCCACGATATGGTGTATCTGAGACACCGAAGGCACCACAACACCCAGACCCAAGACAATAGCAAATACCTAATGTATTTTCTACGTTGACTCGACCGGGATTTAAACATTTTTAAATTTGAAATCTGTTACTAAACAATGTGATGCACATTTTGAAATATATCTTAGTAAAATAAGAGACAAACTTCTTTTGTTTTCAAAATGATAAATCCTCTATATCCGCGAGAACTATAGCGATAAAGTATGCTAAAATTATAAAAAATACTGTTGTATTCTTTTAAAGACAATCATTATCATTTTTTTCAATTATACACTTAAAAAATTATAGTCCTAAGGAAATCTCCGATTTGTCTCTGTCCTTCTTTGGAGTTTAGCCCAATAAGCACTACCTCACCTTACTGGTGATAAATAAAGGGTCTAATTTTATAAATGTCATACTAATAGTAAAACTTAAATAAATGCGAAATTATGTTGGCTAATTCATTGTTTTATTTACCTTATATAAATATTAATATTTTCTATATGCGGGATCCCAGAAATGCCGGAATGGTATTACCTTTACCATGCGATTCTAATTCTAAAAATATTACAGAGCTATAATGACGACGACGTCCTAATTCGCACCGGTTTCGAGCATTGAACCCGGGACCTCATGGATCCTAAGATGGCGACACCTTGAAGTCCTGACGTAGTAAGTGATTATAGTAGCAAAAAGAAATGGTTGATTATAAGGGTAGGTAACTAACTTTGCAATATGTTTCCATAGAGAGAATTTTATAAATTCACGTTTTTACTGATTCCCATTTTCATATTGTTATTTACAATCTCCAAAATTACTACTAACCGGAATTAAATGGAGAAGATAATTTCTCGGTGATTTTTCCTAGATTTCCTAGTTTAAATCAATTTATGGATATCATGATGATAACGATATTTTGGACATAATTTCTTTGTGCCGTACAAATAGAAAGATTTTTGAAGTACGTGCCCTTTTAACCCAATATGTAATCTCGGCCAGAGATCGACGTATTATTAAAGGACGCCAATGCGGAAAATGTGTGAATTAATATTGTTAAAATTAATGATAAGCATGCTAACTGCGAAACAGTGTCGCCGTGTACTAACAGCCATTGTTATAAACTGGTAAAAACAATGTTAATAAAACTTAAAACATTTTTGGTAAACTGCGCTGCGTTTATGGCAACGCTGTGCGTATACACAACTGTAGAAGCCACAAAATCATCTTGCCAACAACTTCACCGTGATTACGCAAGTAAGTAATGTTTTTTAATAAATAAAAACTAGTTGACGATGGCCGCAAAGCTACTCATAAATATGTAAAATATCTAGATTTAAGAACTGCTTATCTAGAAATATCTATAAGGTAGGTGCCACTGTATTAGGACCCATAACAGGCACTCAAGATATACAGCATGGTCGGTATCCGAAATAATCTTTCGCATGACATAGGTACATAAATTAAAAATATTATTATATTTTATCAATTTAGCATTATGAAAATGCTAAACCGCAAAATATTCTTAATGAAAAAGCTTATAAAATCCACTTTGTCCCTGGCACTCTGAGATGAGACTCGAACCCATGATTTAGCAGTCCGGGCGTCTGCTCTCACCACTAAGCCAGGATCTAATAATATCATAACCGCTACTATGAGCCTAGCTCAAAACTAAAGGACAGCTATATGTTTATTTTCGTCCAAAGGTTTGAATTGAGCGAAAAAAAAAGGAAAATATTAAGGGAAAAATAGTAAAAACGGTATTTTTTAATATACTATTGCACGGCACGTTATTCACCAGATCAGCTGATAGTAAGCATAAGCAAAAATATAATCTCTACACTGAATGTGGCGGGGAGAGGCCGCCTAAAAAGAAGCCGCCCCCTTCCGAGAAGAATAAGCAGGAACTATTCTACCGAATAATCTTATTATAGAGACGAGAGTACTTCCCGGTCATAGGACGAACCACTTACATATTACGTTATACGTTAGGCATTTTACATAATACGTTAGCTGTAGGATAAAAAACGTATGTTACAATTGCCAGGAGCGGTTATATGAATCCAATGACCTTTAGTTGTAAACTGTGATGGATAATCGGATGCATATTTACCTAAAATCAATATTTGATTCGAAAATGATGGAACCCAACTAGCAAATGTTACCGTAAAAAAGGCAGCAGCACGTTTCTATTTCATCTGTAGGTGGAGTGAAGGATTTTTAATATGTTGTATAAATGGTCTGTGCACAATCTTTCGGCAGCAAATATGGAATACTTTTATTACATATCGTTGACAATTTTCGTAAGGCATCATGCAGAATATTTAATTTATTTGCCCAAAACTCATCATTTATATATTCATCGTCTTCGAACTCCGAACTGTCATTATCTTGTCTCATTGTATTATTGTAATTTTTTTTATTACTTCTGTCTGGATCCGAGTTTATACCAGCGGAGATGTTTTCGGAACTTGAAAATACTTCACTAGTTGACTGTCCACCAATTTCATCAATCGTAACGTTAATATTCTCTAAGGAACCCATACTAATATTATTTGATTATTCTTCACCCGTGGTGCAGCCAATATAAATGTTGATTGTTTCAATTGTGCATATATCTAGCTTACTTTTTGCCTAAAACCTCCACTTCTCTTAATTTATTTTCACCTTTTAAAGTCTATTTTTGCAAGTATAAGCAAATATCATTGTTTGTACAGAGATCAAACAAGACAGTGCTGATAAAGGTTTTATTTCATTTTATACCACTATTACGATGAGTATTGGCTTTCAAACAGTGTTTGGAGAACCTTCGAAGCTATGAGAGATAATTTGAAAGTTTTTACTCAAAATCAATAGTTAAGTAGAATGAAAGCTGAGTAAAAAGCTATCATATAACCTTTAGCCCTGATATAGTAACTGAAATGTTATTTTGTCTAATAAACAGCTTTTACTCTACAATAATGCGTACGTGTACAGATGTTATTAATGATGCCCGATTTATGAAATGTAAACGCTGCAAGAAAAAATATCATTACTTGTGTGTGAATATCAAGGATGAAGACTCAAAAAAAAATTACTGCTGATAACAGAAAAACATGGTTATGACTATTATGTCTAACAAAACAGCCGAAAAGTGACAAAACTAATAATCCTGTGCGTCCATCAACACCTACTGGTATGGCAGATTTAACGTTTGACGCTACTCGTCGCAAAGCAAGGGATCCGAACCTGAATTTTTCTTGTGGCACGGAGGTAAACTCAAATAATATACGCGATATTATACGAGAGGAGATGCGAGGTACAATGAAAGAATTTATGAATGAATGCATTACAAACTTTAATGAAAATATGAAAATGCAATTAACGGATATTTCTAACCAATTAAGTACGTTTAACGAATCCCTGGAATTTCTTAATGAGCGTTATGAAAACTTTAAAACAGACATAAACGCTATTAATACTGAATTAAAGTCCCTACGTAAGAATAATGACCTACTAAACTCTGAACTACAGGTAATTACGCTTTAGCCAATTCGACCAAATATCTCGTTCAAGTAATTTAGAACTACAGTGTGTTCCCGAGCATAAAGGAGAGAACATTATAAGTATAGTGAAACAACTGGGAAAGTTTATAAAGTGTAATGTGGAGGAAAAGGAAATTATATATTGTTTTCGCACTGCAAAATTTCAACTTGGCAACCCACGTCCTCGCACAATATTAATCAAATTTAGCACGCAACGGTTGAGGGATTGCTTCTTGGCAGCCGCTATACAATTTAACAAAAATAACGTCGATAATAAGCTGAATTCGAAACACTTGGGACTGTCATCTTCCAGAGTAAGTCCTATCTACGTGAGTGAGAACCTCTCTCCAGAAAATAAATCTCTTCATGCCGCAGCGCGCAGCCGTATAAAGGAGCTTGGCTATAAGTATGTGTGGGTGCGTAACGGGCGTATTTATATTCGCAAAACAGAAACTTCCGAGTCCATTTTTGTCCGGAATAAGAATATTTTAGATAGAAACAAAATATTTCATGTTTATATGTATGTTTATAATAAATAACATCATAAGTGTATCTTTATTTTTTATCGTTAAAATGACTTCTAATAAGTGTATAAACATCGGATTTCAAAATGTAAGAGGCTTACGTACGAAAACAAATAACTTGTTTTTGTATACCTCCCTTTCTGTCTACGATATTATAATACTAAGTGAGACTTGACTGAACACTAGTATAAAAGACTCGGAACTATTTAGTGATAGGTATAACGTTTATAGACGTGATCGTGAATCAAGGGTATGTTCCAATATGCACTGCGACCACTGAACAGTATGACGTCAATTTAGTATACTGGAAGCCCGTTCCTTTATAGCTAGTTATACTGGTGACTTTTTAAAACGGAACGCAGTCCAGTATACTGTTAATCCTATTTTTTGGCGCCATTTTCAAATTTGTTAATGCAAGGTGAATATTTAAAATATAAAGATTCCCTCTTTTCAAAAGAAAATATTATAAAATTGTGTATAAAAAAATTATTTATCAATTAAATCCATCTTATAATAAACGTAAGTATTTTTTTTTTGTTTATTTAGAAACTTATCATTTTCTGATTCTGTTTCGACTGATCACGTGATCAAAGGCACTGCGAGCACCTTACCTTGAAATCTCCAGTGCTCACAGTACAAATATGGCGGCAATTTATGACGTCATAAATTTCCCTAGGGTACTGTAGCAGTGTACTGGCAGTCCATAACGGAACGGATTTTCCAGCAGTAAGACCACTGCGCAGTGCTCGCAGTGTATATCGGAACATACCCCAAGTTCATAACACAAAGGATGGGGGTGGAGTTTTAGTGGCAATCTCAAAAAAAAATCTTCTTTCAGAATTACAAATTATGATAGCACATGCGAGGATATATGGTTAGAAATTGACATTAGGATAAACAGTAAGTTAGAAAAACTATTGTTATGTGCTATTTATCTACCTCCACCTACACACGCCCATATTTTGCAACATTTTTTGACAATGCGAATTTAGTGATTAGTAATAGTAAATATAAATATATCCTTATTTGTGGCGATTTTAATCAAGGACATATAATGTGGAGGGGTATTCAAGGCAAACCACTTACACCGTATACCACTGATTCTGGCGTCAATACACAGAATTTGTTCGACTTTATGAGTTAAAACAATCTTAATCAATATAATTATGTACTAAATAAAAATAATCGAATTTAAGACCTAGTTTTAACAAATTTACCAATTAGCCACATAGTGAGTTCCACGTCACCTCTTAGTAATATTGATCATCACCATCCGCCACTGGAATTTTCGACTTACATAGGAGATTATGCGAATAATTTACAAAACAATAACGATTGCATAAGGAAGAAATTACGACAAAATTTGTAAGTATTTCGATGTATTTGATTGGAGTAGCATTTTAAGTTCAAATAGGTCAGTAAACGAAATGATTTTACAAAATTTTAAATGACGCTATAAAGGCATATGTACCCAACTCACGAGCTAAGTCCAATAAAACTCCAATATGGTTCACAGCTGAGTTGAAACGGCTATTAAAAGAGAAATATAAATATCGCGCTCGGTTTATGAAATATAAAAACCCACTAGATAATTTGACATTTAAAACATTAAGAAAAAGATGCAGCATTTTAGCCACACAATGCTATAAAAATTACATTTCGTTGATGGAAGACTCTATGCAAAGTAACCCAAAATTGTTTTAGTACCTTCGTTAAACAAAAAAGAAACAACTCCAGCACATTTTCATGTAAAATTACAAATGAAAATTTTACAGCTACTACAGGCCCTGAGATATGCAATACATTGACTTCCTTTTTCTCTTCTGCATACAGCACCGACACAATCACCTATGGTTATACGAATAATGGGGTTGAAGCTGGCTTCAATGCTTGTGTTGCTGGTATCGATGTTGGCGTTGTTGGCGGTGATGCTGGCGATTCTAATGCTGGGGTCAGGAGTAGTGCTGCTGAGTGTGTAGCTCGTATTGTTACCGGTCTTTCAGGTATTAGTGCTGGCGATTCAGGTGTTGACGCTGGTCTTATTGGTACTGATACTGGTGTTGCTGTTGTCAATGCTGGTGTTTCTAGTGTTGATAACGGTGTCTCTGGAGATTTTGGTGTCGATGTCAGAGTTACGATATTGTTGGTCTTGCTGCTGTTGATGTTGAAGTTACTGGTGGTGATACTAGAAGTGCCGCGGTTGTTACTAGTTCAAATGTTGGTGTTGATACTCGCGATAAGGGCGTGGCCTTTGAGAATACAGAAATCCCATTAGAACTAATTGAATCCTCCCACTGTGTTAGTCGCATATCATTCTCCGTTGATCAGGTTCTAAAGTATTTAAAGTCAATAAATCGTAACAAAGGGGCTGGTTCTGATGGTATACCCAATATATTTGTATGGAGATGCGTTAAACAGTTATCACTTCCTCTCACCCTTATATTTAATAAGTCACTCGCATCTGGAATATTCACTACAGCTTGGAAAACTGCCCTTATCACGCCGGTTCATAAATCTGGTGACAAAGAAATAGCCAAAAATTATAGACCCATCTCGATACTACCAGTTTTTGCCAAAATACTTGAATCCTATAATAACAGCTAGTTTCTCCGAACCAGCATGGTTTTGTTGGTTCACGTTCCACTAGCACTAATCTGGTAGATTTTGTTGATGAAGTGAGTCAATCTGATGACGCTTATATACCGGTAGATGTGATTTATACAGACCTTTCAAAGGCTTTTGACAGGGTTAGTCACAAAATTTTATTAACTAAATTGGCTAGTTATGGTTTTACAGGAGATTTCTTAAAGTGGTGTTCCTCTTATTTGTCCGACCGAACTTCAAAGGTAACTGTGAATGGTTACATATCAGACCCTTATCAAAATCAAACCGGGGTGCCTCAAGGCTCGCATTTGGGACCAGTTTTCTTCAATCTCTTCATTAACGATATCGTTAGCTGTTTCAAGAATTGCAAATGCTACATGTATGCAGATGACCCAAAGTTATTGAAACCAATCCTTTGTTCTGAAGATATGAAGTTATTACAAGAAGACATTAATGATTTAGAACGATTGTGTGTTAGAAATAACATGCTATTAAATGTTGATAAGTGTCAGTTTATTACTTTCACCAGAAATCGACACGTACAGCCCAGATGTTATAGTATAGCTCACCAGCCTTTAAATGAAGTTGAAGAGGTCCGTGATCTAATATGAGACAAAAAACTCTCCTTTAAAAACATTGTGACTGTATAGTTAATAAAGCCCTAAAGTGTTTAGGTTTCGTAATAAGAAACAGCAAGGATTTTAAAAATGCATCAACAAAGATTAACCTATATAATAGTATCGTTCGTTGTGGCCTTGAGTATTGCTCTGTTGTATGGTCTCCATTTTACGAAGTGCACTTAAATAAAATTGAGAGAATACAAAAGAAGCTTCTGTATCATCTGGTTTATCAATCAAAAATAGCTAAAAAGCTAACATCATACGCGGATAGATTACAATACTTTAAAATGGACTCTTTGAAAAGCAGACGGAAACGAAGAGATCAAGTATTCTTATATAAGCTGGCGAATGGAATCTTAGATTGTCCCGAACTGGTGAATAAATTAAATTTTAATGTCCCTTATAAACTTGCGCGTTAGTCCAGATATACCTTATTTTCAAAAAACAAAGAATTTTTACATTTTTAGATTTAAATTGTCAAGCTTTAAAAAACGGCTCACCAACATATCGCACACCTAGATCTAAACTAAGACAACTCAAAAAACGAATGTGGAGGTTTGATAATACATTTGTTTACGTGGCAGGAGCACGAGCACTGTTGATTTAACAAAAGAAAGCTAAAGTTATCTAGTGGCTCATCCCCAAACCTTTATTGAATCTGTTATGTTGGATAGATGCGTATGATCACAGAGAATTTGAATATTGTACTAAGTAAAAACTCAATCAAAGGGTTTAGCCGGATACGTATGACGAGTCGGCCCCCAAATGGGAATCGATATTGAAACTTATGTTTTAATATCGACTTGATGTTCAAACACGATTTATGTACTTTTCGCGACCGACTTCCGCTTTGACCTTGAGATAGAGAGCAAAATATCCGTATGCTTGACTATTACTGAATGTGATATATCTCTAAAGCTAATTAAGATAAAGAAGTGAAACTAACGCGAGGTGTTAGGTTACATTACAGAGTATATCACATATATTTTTTTATAATTTTTAGAATAAAAAATTACATTAAAAAATAAAAAAATCATGTTTTTTTTTTCTGAGTTCTCTGTGACTTACAATCACGAAATTAATATATGTTATGCTCCTTTGTGTGCTCTATTACCCATAAAAATTGCGTGAAAAAAAAGTTGGTGCAACACAACGAAAAAAAATTATATGTGATTTCTGTCTTATGGTATACCCCTGTATTATAACTATCAAATGTGGAAAGAAAGTTCTATAAAAGCTAGTAAATATAAGGCTTACGGTTAAATGAAGAGAAATATGATATACAAAAATCGCAAAAAAACTTTATACAATCGAGTAAATGCGATATGACCTCGCCGAGTCCACGTTTAATCAACATTTTTATAAAATTAAAAGGCTTTAATACAACCATTTGGAATAATGGGATCTAACATACGATTGTTTTTCGATCTTAAGTCATATGAGTGATTGTTTAAACGATCTCTTTGCTAGTTGGGAAGTGACTTCTTAAAAGATGTTTAAAAGGCTGCTTCTAAAATTAACACTTAATAATCTCGGGATTCCAGAAAATCCAAGAATACTAAACTAGTCGGTAACATGCGTAGGTATTCACTTAAAATGCTTTTTAAACCCCCGTACAACCTTGGTATGTGTCTGTAATGTTAGAAAAAAGTAATGAGAGTAAATTAAAAAAAAAGTAATACTAAAGTGCATTCCATAATAGCCAACATCTCAATTTTTATGAAATAATCATCCTATTATCTATGAATCTTCTCGTAGTATCCCTTGCCTTTTATTGTTATAGAAAACAATCCCGAGCACGACTTGTTTGTACGCGGACATTCCCGCTGGATATCGGTGTATCATGACGGGAGAGAGACAAGTCGTGCTGCTGCAGCACTTCTACTCACACTGCTACGCCACGGCTTACGCTACCGACAGCTACGTATACGCCAACTATCACTATCTGGACTCTGTGGACTACGTATACAACACGAGGAGAATTTCGAGGAAGATCACATAAACCAAGAACAAGAGTACGTTCCATCAAATAATTCCAGATGTTATTATACACCAAAGCATTTCACTCTTACATATCTAACTATTAGTTAGTTTTGCTTGGTCTCATTTGAGATTATTGTTTGTACTTTCAATTGAATTTAATAAGGTTGTCACTAATTTCAGAGTAGTGTTAGCCCCGTCAATTGCTTGGAACGAAACAGCACCCGATGAATGTATCTCAGAAACTGATTCGGGGGCGGAGCCTCTTCAGGTGGTGGGTGCAGGTGCGGCTCCCGTTTCACTAAACCGTCTTCCATGGAATCAGAATTTATATTCAGACACAATTCGAACAGTTCGAATTGCCGATGTGTCCACTTTACGGAATTTCGCGCCTTCAATATTAGAAGTATTCAGTTCATTCTTGCCAGAAATTAATGATATAAGGAACGTACTCGAGTGGTTGAAATACCAACAAGATGACTTAGAAGAATCGGCATGTTCCTGGGCATTAAATAACTCTGGAGTATTTAACACATGGCTACAAATCAGAAGAGTACGTGTATACGAAGTGGCTGTGTTTTTATGCGACGATGATCAAGATAGTACTATCTACGAATCAGTTTTAACTGAGATCTACGGAATACATAAAGAACGTTACAGGCACATAAATTCGAAATATAAAATATGTACAGTTCCGAGATATTTATATGTCAACTGCTCTGATGAGTATTCGCTCATGAAGATGTTTCTTGAAAGAGCTCAGAGCGTATATTGGCCGCGTCTCATAGGTGTCGTAGCTAGAGGCGTTGGACTTAGTGCTGCTGCTAATGTGGCTTCGTCCTTAGACACCGCCTTAGTTCTATATGATACACCTCACGATATTCTGCCTTATGTTCATACTGCTTCCGGTAGATTACAAGATCTCTCACTCGCATTTCAATATTTCCTTACGTCGTGTCAATGGACTCGGCTGGGAATAATTTCAGAAAACACAAAATTTGCAGTTGCTTTTGTAACTTCTCTAAATACTGTAAACAATTTAATTATACGGGATGTTTCAATTGACTCCGGCGTCGAAACAGCTTTACGCATACTTAACAAAGAGAATGCACGCATTATATTTATTAACGCAAATTCCGATATTGCATTATCTATTTTATGCGAGGCTAATGAACTAAGAATGTTAACTGATACTTCCTATGTTTGGATATTACGTGAATGGCACTATAAAGACATGAAATGTGCAAATTCTACGTTACGGGGAAATGAATTTCTTCACTTTACAATTAACTTTTGGTGGAGAGGTGGAGATAGAACTTCGTTGTCGCTCGACTCGAACCAAACAGCCGTCCAGGAGAAGTTAGAAAAGCTATGGAGCGCTCCCACATGGCCGCTAAGGGCCGCACCTCTGGTAGATGCTATGACAATGCTAATACATGGATTTTATAATTTAGTACAAAGTCGACCACATTCTCATGATGACTTACATAGTAAAGAGACACATAGGTGTGCTCCCTTTTTTTTTTGAAATTTGATTTATTGTGCATTTTAAATATGATACATGTTTATATTTAATTTTTCCAGAGCACTTTGGGCGTCTTATGATCTAAATCCACCGTTAGGTGTTATGCAAAAGTTAAACCTACATCAGCAAGCGGTAAATCATCCTTATGTGTATGTCTACAAATGGCAAGGCCAACTATCGGCAGTGTGGCAGATTTACAATGGCCGCGTGCATGTAATATATCAGCCACGACCCTTCTTTGATAGCTCATCGCCTACAGATGGTCATAGTTCATGTCTGACACAGACGAATAACATCGAATTCGCACCACACTGCCACGATATAGCTTGGTTCATAGCGATAGGAGCAGTGGTAATCGCCATTCCAGCAACAATTCTTGCGCGCCGCGCCAGACATGAGCAAATTGCACGTCGCGACCGTGTGTTGACAGCGCGGCTATTAGCTCGAGGGCGTCGCGCTTCGGCAGCACTCGCAGCACATCTTGTAGATCGCGCTACACTACAACTTGGCCGTGAGCTCGGCACTGGCCGCTTTGGACGTGTTTTTCTTGCCGTTCTTCGTCCACCTGGGAAGCCACCACTTGTCGTCGCAGCGAAAGCACTTCGAGAAGAAGCTACAAAAGCAGAGGAGAGGGAATTTCTTAATGAAGCAGTGACACTAGCATCTCTAAGAAACAATCACGTCGTGAGGCTGATAGGAGTATGCGCTACAGGTGGCCCTCCACTCGTATTGATGGAACACGCTTTTTTTGGAGATTTATTAAAATATCTTCAGGAGCGGCGACATCTGGTCGACAGAGTGGGAGAAGCGAGTGCAAAGACTGAACAAGTGTCAGCTCGAGTATTAACACGATTTGCCCATCAAGCGGCCTTAGCGCTTGAATACTTGCGACAGCAGCGATTCGTACATAGAGACGTACGTGCCTCTAACTGTCTGGTAGATGCCCGTCGTTCGTTGAAACTAGCAGACTTTGGTTTAGCTCGTAAGACAGAGAGCGGGGCAACGGGGGGCGAAGAAGAATACTCTTGTCGACGACGTGGATTGTTCCCGGTGTTGTGGATGGCTCCAGAGAGTTTGGAGCGCGGCGTATTCACGGCAGCTTCTGACATATGGGCATTGGGTGTGCTTCTGTTGGAATTAACCACACTAGGCGCGCGACCCTACGGCTGTTGGGCTCCTGAGCGAGTGATGCGATTTGTCTGCGCCGGTGGATATCCACCATTACCAGAAGGCATTACGCCAGACTTGTAAGTTCCCCTCCTTAATCCAAGCTTCAGTAGTGTTCTAATTATTTAATTATTATGTGTATTGCTAGTGACCTATCAAATATACTTATTTGTACAGACGGCGATTGCTTTTGCAATGCTGGCAGCGACTACCATCAAAGCGTCCATCGGCAGCCGAATTAGCAAGAGAATTGAGTCTTAACCCTACAGCACTTCATCCCGCACCGCAATAGAGGTGTAGACAACTTTGTTTAATATTTTTATTTTACAAATATAAGATACATGAAATATATATAAAAAAATATATATTAAAAATTATCATTCTTAGAATAAGTGAAATTCTAAAAATATATTTGATAACGCGCAAACGCCGCGAAAACGCAGACTTCTGTCATGGCGTCGTTATGACGTCACGACCCACTAAAACTAATACCATTATATGTATGCAGGTTTTATTCTCTATTCAATAGAGGGGCGTGACGTCGCGCGCTATTTGCGGTCATGTGACACCGAGTATAAAATAGGTAAAAAAACGGCTATTTAATGCAAACAAACAAACACAATAAAAAAATTCCCTGTTTATAATATTACTACAGATAAATAGTTTTTAAGACTACTTCTTTCTAACTAAAGCAACACAAATAAATAAATGTTTCTTTTTTAAAATCACATTCTGTTCCAAATATATCTTAATCACCCACTCGCCTTCAGGTAAGGTTTTTTCCTTAATCAGAAGAGAATCATCATACATTTTAAATAATAGTGTATTCAAGCTTTATGTACAATAATAATAATAACAATAATAGGTATGTAAAAGATCTCTACAGTATAGGTGCAATTAAACAGGCGGGGCGCGGTCAGCAGCGGGGCGGGGGATACGGATGTGGTGGGTGGGGGGCGTGTGCGACATGAGGGGGGATAGGGCCGGGTGGCCCGAGAGGCGCAGGCGCATGAGGCGCGAAACCGGCTGTCGGAAAAGGCTGAGGGGGTGGCACCGGCTTTAAAGCTTCCCGCATCAGCGAATGATATAAATTGAGCGCGTCGACTAAATCCGCGCTCAATTGCGTCAGACGCGCGTGACGACGATCAGCTCGCTCTAAAGCCGCGTCCACCAGTGGGCCCATGGCGTGTACGCGGGCTTCTAGCCTTGCTAAGGCTACATCCGTTTCTTGTGCAGCCTCTCCACTCGCTTCCGGATCTGCCTCGTGTAGTAGAGCGAGTGCCGCGTCCATAGTAGCCTCGTCTATACAAACTGCCTCCTCGGCTTCGGGACCAGCGGCGGGACCGGCGTCCGCGAACTTTACACTACGTGTGCTCGTCTCGGCCTCTGTGATGGCAAGATGTCATGTTTTATAATAGAAAAGATAATGAATATTTTCCATTATTCATAATTATGATCATTAATCTCAATAAAAACACTGGAAAGCACTACATACATATTTTTAGACATATTAATTTTATTATTAGTTTACTTACATTTTTATTAAATTTTCCTCTACTGCCTATTTGCAAGGTCACATATATGGAATGAAACTAAATATATATCTATTGTCGAAAGGAAGTATTTTCTTTTCCCCTGTTATTTCAGTTTTGTATTTCACTTACCAATTCGAGGCTCACTGAGATCAGATGTAACAAAGTTAGCTGGAAACAACCCCTCCCCCCGATCATTGTATCCTTTCCACCAGTTAGGATCACTGGAATCCGTCACATGAACTGCAAACGAGACAAAAACATTATAAGCATCATTGCCATTATTCATACGAATGAACGACCAATCGTGAACTTGTCACTCACCAATTTCACCTGCCATGAAAGTTAATTCATTATCCTCGGCCGCTTCAAAGTCGTAGAGGGCGCGCACTTTGCGTGGGGGCGCTGCGTCAGGTAACTCCACCCGTGGATATAATGTTGGAGCTTCACTAGCAGTAGTTTGCGGTGTAGACTCCCGAAGAGACAGAGCAATAGCACGCGCTAGTTCTTCCTGCTCTCGCTGTGCCGCCGCTGCCGCAGCTGCTGAGGTGCCAGTGCTTGCGCTCGCAACAGTAGTTGATGGCGCTGCGCCTGCCTCCCCACTCTCCGCACGCAACTTAGAGTGAAGTGAAGGTATCAAGTCCAATTGTGGATCACTTTTAAATTCTCCCTCTGCCCACTTCCGCAAAAGGGCTCTCAATCGCTGAGCAACAGGTGGCTGTGCACGCGCCAGAAGCCGACGGAATTCAGTTTCAAAGTCACGAGAAGCTACTTCCAGATGGAAGGCACGACCACAGTTGGCGACGCAAGCGTCAAGCAATGTTGCAGCGTGCACCTGCACGTGAGGGTCGGGATGTGCGAGGCGGCGCATAACAGCACGCAGGCAATCTTTTGCATTTTGTGGAGATGCTCCTGCGCGATCACATATTTCCATAATTAAGCCCCATTCTTCACTAGTGTTATTCTCACTTGTGGCCCTCTCTGTAAAAATATAAAAATAAATTATGTATAAGCATTAGCTAGGACTCCCCATTTAATTAAATATTTTGAAAAATCATGTTTTTTACCCAATAAAGATTAATATGCTCACAACTACAAATATATGGCCAATTGATAGTTAATCATAAAAAACTCAAGTCATAAAATCGAAAAAATTAATATTCCGTTTTCTTTCCACAAATACACTGTTATACTGACCAAATTTAGAACAATATCATTCATGAATTATTATTATACATATCCTTTATTTTGCTTAAATTATAAAGTTGTATATGTGAACTTTTTCCACATACATTAAACTAATATGTATATGAATTGTTAAGTCATCCACATTTTAATAGAACTAAACATAATTGTAGTAGAGTAGCTCGGTGGCGTAGTGGATAAGCGCCGCGGCCCGCGATCGTAGTCGTTAAGCAACTTTCGCAAGGGTCGGTCACAGGATGGGTGACCAAAAAATTATTATCTCGAGCTACTCCGTGCTTCGGAAGGCACGTTAAGCCGTTGGTCCCGGCTGCATTTGCAGTCGTTAATACCCTCCAATCCGCATTGGGCCAGCGTGGAGGGTCATGGCCTATCCTCTGTAACCATCCATAAAGAAGGCCTGAGCCCCTGCAGTGGGGACGTAAACATAATTGTAACCTTATTACTCAACTTTCTTCGAATTTGGCTGTCCTGTGACATGTATATCACAAAAGTTTTAATTTTACTTTTTGAAGGTTGTTTCATGGAAAGCATTTTAGAAAGAACAAAGTTTATATTTTCAAACACAAATTATATTTACCCTTAAGTACTGGTATGATATCTATCATGACAAAATACTTAGTCAAAAGTGTGGCCTTTTCGACAACAAATGATTATTCTTTTACCAAGTACCTTCAGTTTAAAGTATAAATGCCTCCAAATTATGTATTGGTCTTACAAGGATATAGAATAGGGCTGACGACTGGGTAAAAACGAGAAGTTCTATTTAGTCTGTCAGTCAGAGAATAAAAAAATATTGGACACATATATTTTATCTTCAATTTGAATAAGAAATTGCTTAGATTAAAGGCATTACAGTAGGCTTGTTACATCACAGTTTTGTAGAAAATGCTAAAAAGCATGAAGTCATATAACATTTCAAGTTAATATATCGCCATAACTTATTGATTACGTGAAAAATCTAAAAATATTTATTTAATATTCTTCAATAATCTACCTGACAGACAAAGAAACAAAACTAAGTTGTCATCCCTTTTCTGACTATCATAATTATCAATCCTTAAACCTCCCCATTGCAGGGGCTTAAGCCTTCCTTAAGGATAGTACAGGCGAATAGGCCAATGTGGAGGACATTGGCCAATGTGGATTGGAAGGTATTAACGACTGTAAATGCAGCAAAAAATTCTAGTAAGATTTAAAACTAACTAAAGTTAAAAATTTATAATGTCAACAACATCTACTAAGATGAATACACAAATATTCTATTAGTCTGAATAATATTATAAAAAAGATTACGCTGGCGATTATTATCGTTCAATAAACTCATTAAAGATAATAGATTTTCTAACAAAGGTAAGCTATTTCTTGAGCTCTAGATAGCAATGAGTCATGAAACATGAAACAATATTCTGATAACATGAACAACACAAAGTTATTAAATTAACATTTCCATCTAAATAACTCTTATTTTCCATTTCATACCTACAAAGTATCTCTAATGATTACTAATTAATGAAAAAAACAAGTCTTCAATCAATAACTAAGCCAAATACGCACCGACATCTTGATCAAAGGGGGAAGAATTGCCAAATATACCCATTTTATTTAATTATATTACAAATAACGGTACAAATTTTATACGAGAAAATTAACTAAAGTTTTCCCAACAAGAATCATTAAAATGAATTCACTATTTTTCCAGAAAAAAAAACAGAAAACTCTGCAACTATTCACCAAAAATCCACAACTATGACAATCAAATGACAATTTATTTACTGTCTATGACATTACAATATTTTTTTTGGCATTATTTTTTTCTGTAATAGTAAGGCGGAGGGAGTTCATTCATTACATCCATACAACCATTGTCTGATGTAAATTTTTTTCTTCGATATCATAGGATAAAAAATAGATCGAAGCCATGTCTTTAATGATAAATTTCAACATTGAGAAGAATAATAAGCCATGAAGGAAGGTAAAAGGCAAATCAAATTAAAGTGGTGAATAGGGTTAGCGAGATGGATAGGACCGAAACTAGGAATGAGATTTACATACAATAGCAGAATAATGAGGAAGTATTTAAAAAAATAAAGAAACTACATAAAATTATGTCACTAGATGGCAGCACAAATTGGTGGATCGAAGATCTAAACGTCAATTCATGACGTTAAACCAAAGAGAATAGAATTGTCAGTGTTGTTATGGATCTGATAACTCGGATTAATATCGAGTTGAAATTTAATTAGTTCGAGTTATGCAAACGCAACTCGATTAATACAAAGTAATCTTTGAATTTTTTTATTTATTTGTTTAGAGGAAAATGGAACTAACTTAATGGAAGTGAGCACAGAGGTTTTATTTTAATTTATGGAAATCAATTGAAATAATCCTGTGATATAATTAAAAGGGGCATTTAGCTGCGGCTTACGATAATATTTCCGCCAAATAGGTTTTATAAATAAAATACATAATAGGTCTAAGAATTTTTCATTATAATATTTGAAGTCCCGAAAACAATAATAACTAGGTAAATTATTTTTATTGCTATTAGTTATTTGTTGAACTTATAAAAACAAAACTACAACAAGTCTCAATGATAATTTTACATTATGTATGGTCAATGAATGAATAGGGTTTATTTATTTATTCAACAAAGTTTCAACAGCAGTTTAGTTATTTCTATACAAAAATAAAAATGCAGCATTGACGCCAATTATAGAAACTTATTATGTTTACAAATCTTATTAATTATATAATCATAATGAGGGCAGTTAACAAAGAAAATGTACGTATTAGACTTTTTTTATCAGCAACAAAAGTCATAAAAAGGATAGTAATCCGTTTATTATCTATGTACTTATCCGATATGTATCAAATATACTAGGTATTCGTACAATATAACATTACTTCTGGCTAAAATGACGTTTGTGCCAAGTGAAACGTGCAAATAACTTGTGCTTTCGAAATTAAGACTTTAAAAAACTATGATCAGTTATTAAATCTTATATTCATCAGTTATATGTACACTGAGCACCACGGTAATATGGAAAGATACTAATGAAAAACTGTACAATAGCAAAACAGATTGGAGGTCTTTCCAGGACTACATACAAGAAAATGCAGATCTACATATGCCGTTGAAAACTGAGGAGGACATTGAAAATGCCGCCTGGTATACTACTAATCTTATTGAAGTAGCTGCCTGGTTATCTACTCCGCATATTGAATACAGCCCACAAAAATATGACTTTACGCTGTAAATACGAAATATGATAACTGTAAAGCAAAGATTGAGAAAACAATGGCAAACTAGCAGGAATATGCATGATAAAAAGGCACTTAATAAAGCACAAAAAGAGCTGAAAAGAATAATCAAAGAAAGTGAAAATCAAACACTTCAAGATAAACTAAAAACTTTATCACCTTTTAAAAGAGACGACTACTCACTCTGGAAAATAACGAAATCACTAAAAAGGTCAAAAGAACACAAACCTCCATTAAGACAACCAGATGGTAACTGGGCTAGGAAACCAATAGAAAAAGCAGAACTGTTTGCTCAAAACCTTAAACAAGTTTTTAAACCAAATGAGCCTGACATTATGTTTCAAGAGAAGGAATTCGACGACATTCTTGATAGCGATCAGCAGATGTCCCTGCCCTTACGACTATTTACTCCTTTTGAGATCAGAAATAGTATCAAACAATTAAAAAAGAAAAAGGCACCAGGATTTGATTTAATCACGTCAGAGATATTGAATTGTCTGCCAAGGAAGGGAATCGTTCTCATAACAATCGTTTACAATGCAATCCTCAGATAACATTATTTCCCCCTTATGTGGAAAGTTTCATTCATAAATATGATCGGAAAGCCAGGCAAACCGGCTACAAAAATTAGCTCATACAGACTTATAAGCCTTTTACCCCTGTTATCCAAACTGTTTCAGAAGTTGCTACTGAAGCGATTGCTTCCTATACTTGAAGAACGAAATACAATACCAGACCACCAGTTCGGATTCAGACAACAACATGGAACGACTGAGCAAATACACAGGGTGGCCCACACAATACGTCAATCTCTGGAAAGGAAAGAATACTGCTCGGCTGTCTTCCTTGACATTAAACAGGCGTTCGACTGAGTATGGCACAAGGGTCTCTTATGTAAATTGAAGATTTCCTTGCCACATACTGCATACATGCTCCTCAAGTCTTACCAGCAAGACCGATTGTTCCAGGTAAAGTACGGAGACCGTCTGTCCCAATGCTACCAAATAGAAGCTGGAGTACCGTAGGGATCTGTTCTCGGGCCTATATTATATACAGTATACACTGCTGATCTGGCTTCTTCCAATCAAGTCATCACCGCCACTTATGCAGACGATACCGCTGTTTTGTCTTGTGATAGATGTCCTATAACTGCATCGCTGAAACTTCAAAGACAACTTGATGTTATAGAATCGTGGTTAAGAAAGTGGAGAATCAAAGCTAGTGTCACAAAATCTATGCACATAACTTTCACTTTAAAAAGAGATAGCTGTCCACCAGTGACATTTGGTGGAAGTATTTTTATCGTCATATCTAAATGCCACGAAGATTAATTAAAGATCATATTAAAAAAAAAGAAAAAAATAAATAAAGTGACTTTAATTTACGTGGTGTTTTCTAAAAAAAATACCAGATTTTTTTTTAGAAAAAACACGTAATGTTCTGCATACTTAAAGAAAATAACAATTAAAACTTCATAAATAAATTCGATTACTAAGATAAATCGAATTGGTAATGCATTAGTACATCACTATTTGATTATTACTCGAATTGTCAAATATATATTTAATGGTTGGAAAGATTATAACGTCTTGTTTTTTGTAAATCCATGTAGAAAGATGGAATTAGTAATTTTGAATGAGTATTTAAATCGTGTAATGGTCTCCTACGTAAAGTTGGCAGTATTGTGGTAACGCAAAGTGCCAAGTTAAGAAGAAGACGGACCATAGATGATCATTTTCGTTCCTATTAACTAACATATTAAAATACTGAAATTTTAAAAGTACGAAACTTAGATATCAATACAAATACGAAAAAGTACAAATAGAATATAAGTTGATTATTTAATTTTGAAAACTAATTTATTTTAAACATGATATAAAACCGGAAAGGTTGTCATGGAGGAATCAAGAATGTACCGTGACGACATCTAGTAAGATTTCCGGAACGAATATCGTTATTTTTTAAATATGTTCTCATTATTTGTTAAGTTTTGAACGAACAAAGAGTTTGTATGTCATGTATAAAAACTCACAGAAAATAAAAATAAAATTGTGTAAATTTGGACATGTGTTTAGCTCATATAGAACTAATATTATATGAATATTGCTTCATTCAAACGTAATAATACACATAGAGGTCAAATGGATTACCTCTTTTTTTGAAGTCGATTAAAAAAAAGTTAAGGCAAATTTAGTTGAAATACGGCAATTTTTACTTTCATATACGGCAAATCAATATAAGACCAGCGGCAACACTGGCATATTGGCTCGCGTTTGTCCGTTGTCGTTCTGAAGTCTGTTTTTATTAGTAAAATTACTTACAGTAGTTATTGAAAGAAAATAACAATTATGAGTTTAACTAAATAAACTATTGGCTGATTTTTACAGCTATTTTACAATTTGTGGTGAAGAAGCTGAATATGTGAAAAACGCTCTCAAGTCAGGGTATGCTGTCATAATTTGTCAACTATTAGTAGATATAGGTTTCTAAGATATTCCATTGCTTTGGAAACCGGTGACAACGCATAGTGGTTAAAGAAATTAATATTTTGGTCGTGTATGAAAGATAAGTCAATTGAATAATTGTACAACAAAGATTTGCTTTAGAACCATGTGGCATTGACAGTCAGTTTAAAGAGACAATAAAATAATGCACGAAAGAGGTCACTGTAGTCCAACCTGACCGGACGGTCGTCTTTTTGAAGGCGATTTGTTTCGATTTTTGTTGACACTTTAGCAATGGCAAAGAGAAAGAAACCAGCATCTAAGACGCCAGCGCCTAGGCGCACTACTCGCCGCGGTAAACAAGCTAGCAATGTCGATGGCGAGTCCTCATCTGCAAATCCGCCGCCAGTTGAGCCAACAGCAGAGTCCACTCAGTCAACTAGTAATGCTATTGAAGAACAGTCAGTGGATCAAACTACCAAACAAACTAATTTGCCTATTACCAAACCATGCCAAGTACCAATTGTGGCTTTACATAAGAAATTTGGCAAATATAGGTGTTTATTTAACAGTGAAGAAAACAGTGTCAAGAAAAATGAAGTTTGTAGTGATAGTGAGACAAGTAGCAGCATAGAAATAAAAGTTATAGACCCTTGTGCTAGTTCTGAATCTGATTCAAATGCTGCACTAGACACACAGACTGAAAGTAATGTAGGTTTATGTGTAAGCCCTTGTAATAACACAGTGATTACTTCACAGAGCCAAAGCAGTTCTGGGAATGTATCTCCCATTTCAATATTGAGTGAGAATCAACCTTCCACTGAAAATATGCCTGTAGAACATATTAATGAAGAAAATGAGAAAGTTATAGATTTAGAAGCTACCTCAGCTTCAATACCTATTGTAGATATAACTGAAAATGAATCAGTAGATAACTCTATTGAACAAACTCAAAGTACCTCAGAGCATGCGTGTCTATTGCCCCAAGACATTCCATTGGAAGATGACCAAATTGATCAAATTGAATTCGCTGACGATGATGATGAAGTGATTACAATAGTTCAAATAGTAGAAGATGATAATCCAGAACTATATTATAATATCAAAATTGACAGCCCTAAAGATGAAACAAATGATGAAAGTAATAAAGATGCTGATATCCAGCGTCACTTTGAGAATCTCAATCTCACCAATACAAGTGAATCCAATTCACTTATGGAATTCAATGACTCGCTAAACTCTAACGGTACTCCTTGCAGTACCCCAGAATTACAATTTCCTAAGGAACAATTGGATGTTTTAGTTAGACCTGATCCCAGTATTACACCTAGCTCTACATTGTCTGATGACAGTAATTCTTCAAGAGCTACTGAGCAAAACCAAACAAATTCCAATGACTCAGCAGAATCATCACCAACAGGAGTGAGACGGTCTAGTCGTATCAAAACAATAAGTCACATGAAACAAAAAACTAAAGGATATGGTTTAGTTAAAACTCCATTGAAAAAAGCCTTGATTACACAGACAAAGTTAAAGTTAGAAGAATTGGGCTCAGACAGTCAGGAGAGACCATCAGATGCATTGATGATTAATGCACCAAACTCTCCATCTTTCCCTGTACCTTCAGATATGCCAGTTAAAGTAAAGTCTCGATGGAGAAGGTCTAGTGAATTAGAAATGGGAGCAGGTTCACCTGCCAATTCACCTCTAGCTAGTCCTAGCTTGCCAACACAGAGGATGTCATCGCTAACTGAGGTTAACAATGACGAATCTGAAATTCGACCACTGTCAAAAGAGGCATATGACAAGATAATTGATGACCGGATGAACCAATATGAACACTTAGAAGAGAATGAATATCTCTGTGATAGAATGATTAGTAAAGAAACTAAGAAAATGATATGTGACTGTTTTATGACCAAAGAGGAGCTTGAAAGAGGAGAATTAGCTTGCGGAGAAGACTGCTTGAATAGGTTACTTATGATAGAATGGTAAGATTTTTTTTATGAGAAACAATTTTATTTTCATTAAGAAACAAACAAATAATTATATTCCATGATCTTACAGTAACTCAAGGTGTCCTGTAGGGGATAGATGTACAAACAGAAGATTCCAAAAAAGAGAAAATGCATCATTAAAGGTATTTTATGCAGACAAAAAGGGCTGTGGGGTTGAAGCTGCAATAGATATACCTGTGTAAGTTGATTCAAAAACTTAAATATTGGTTTATGTTGCCATGCGAATTTTAGTATTGATTATTTATAATTTATTTAAAATTATCTTTTGTGCATGTATTGTTATGGATATGAAACCTTATTTCATCATAATAACCTTTTGTAAAATGAAATATTAAAATTTATGGTAGGAGATTTCACTTTATATAATACAACACACTTAAAAGTCGTAGTGTCTTTTTCTAATATTTGTATAGATTTATTTTAATTATATTCTGTTAATTATGAAAGAATGAAGAAAAATAAACCTTATTACTTAATTATACTTTGTTATATATTTCACAGTGGTGAATTCCTAATGGAATATGTAGGAGAGGTGCTTGATTATGAGCAATTCTACAAAAGAGCTCAGGAGTACTCAGATGAGAACAACATGCATCATTACTTTATGTCACTGAAAGGAGATACTGTTATTGATGCCACTGTGAAAGGCAATATATCTCGATTCATCAACCATTCCTGTGAACCTAATGCAGAGACTCAAAAGTGGACAGTTAACGGAGAGCTCCGGATAGGTTTCTTCAGCAAGAGGGACATTCCTGCTGGCGAGGAAATCACCTTTGACTACCAGTTTCAGAGATTTGGGTAAGGGTACTATTTTTAATTGTTTATATTTCAATTTTAACAAGCTAGGTTTCATAAAAAATGAGCAAAGTTCGTCATGCAGGTTTTGTCATTTCACTTGTTACTAGTTCCCAAATTCTATCCATGAAACAATGCTAAAACTATGTCATATTTATAATTTTATTCCTTCCATACATAAAAGAAATTAATATAATAGATTACAAAGAAACTTTCACACTTATAATATTAATAGGGTTAATGGGTATTTTAATAATTACTTAGGTATTTTTGTATGATATTAAAAGAACAGAATTTAATATTTGCACATATACAGTACCTATCTGTAACAAACTTCATATATCAAAATAAAAAAAAAACAATATTCTTTATCTCAAATTAAATTATAAAAATCTTTCACACTTACGCATATGCTATATAATTTTAATTTTTTACCTAGGCTTTAATAATCATTAGAAATTTTATAATAAACACATTTTATATCTCTTTTCTCATTTTATACAGCAAGGTTGCTCAACGCTGCTATTGTGGTGCCAGCAATTGCCGAGGTTGGATCGGTGCTGAACCTGACTCAGATGATGAGGATGAGGTGATAATATATATCTATCTAGAAGCTGTAGTCTAATAAGAAATAATTGTATTGGGAGCCTTAATTCTCCTTAAGTTAATGAGAAATAGTATGAGGTGAACTCGTTTATTACAATTCAATTAAGTAAAGCAGTTTATTTGTAATAATTAATCTATTTAAATTTTGCTTGTCTGTAATTTGAAATATGTTCTAGGTATGTTTTTAACTTTTTTTCAGTTATGTAATTAATATTTTTCAGGAGGAGGAGGAAGACGTTACGACGTCGAAGACAGCAGAGGAGAATGCAGAGAGTCGGCCCGCGACCGACGAGCCTCGACCGCGACCGCGACCCCGCGAACGCAAGTACAAGCCAAAGGCCAATGATCTCGTACAAGACGCAGATGTGAGTGTATTACATTTAATATTTATTTTCATTGTGATGAAAGCTTCTTATGTTAAATTGAAATTGGCTACTTCACTGATTTGGGCAAATATTATAAGTTTCATAATTATCGTATTAAACAACTGCCAGATCTATTTTTCGCAAAAACTCGCGACAAAGACATTGAGGTTAATTTATTTGAAATGTGACGTCGGTGAGCCGTCATGGCCACCGCGTTTCGGTTCTTATAACCCTCAGATTATATATCGCAAGTTAGTTTTGCAAAAATAAAATAAATTACTATTTATTAAAAAAAAAACTACATAATTAATGTTATATTCTTAAGAAGCCAATTAGATTACATTTACTTTCCCTAATCTATAAGTCTATACTAATTCTTTGCTCTAAACACAATTATTAAAAATTGTTACTTAAGTTTTTATTTAATAAAACAATATATGGGATTTTATGGACACTATCTTAAATATCATTCAAAATATGTTTCTTCCAAAATAATGTAATTAATATGCCCAAATATAATTTTTGCATTCCGTTTCCCTAGCTCGAAGAAGATTTGGAAGCACTAAATCGTACAGGCGTTAAGAACCAGAGTCATACGCTCCGTTTGTCACGGACGGTGGTTAGGGCTAAGACTCGTCGCGCGCAGACCGCGTTGTTGCGTTTACTCCGCGACGCTGACTTGCCGTGTAGACGTCTGTTCCTCGACTACCGCGGGCTGCGACTGCTGGCTCCCTGGTGTACTGATGCACCTATGGACTTCAGGTCAGTCCCATTATGCAGCTATATATACATATTGTTCTTTGGTTTTTAAGGGAAATATCAAGACCGTTTAGAAGTTACATCTCAACGACCTCGCTGCTGCACTGAAGATAAAATCATACTCGAAACGTCTGAAAATAAAAGATATAGTCTCTCCGTCCTCTGGAGACTTATTTAGAGTAGATGACTCACTGGAGTCACCCTCCCACAGAGCTATAGAACGATTCTGATAAAAACCGAATTCGAATTCACTCATGTGTCCAAATTCAAGTCATTTAGGGAGTCAAGTCAAAACCAAATTGATTGATTACATATAATCAAGTCTCAGATATTCTATCCCTATGTCATTTCGAAACTTACTTTACTTATGCCACGAAATGTTATCACCAATCCAAGGTTGAGCGGATGCCGCTTTTTGAAGTGAAATCGGATACCTGAGTGAATTCGAATTCGTGTTAGATTTTTACAAAATCGCAGGGCTGAACTGACAGCAGATGAAACAAAACACGAAAAGAAATTGTTTATACATTAAAAACATGCTATTCAACCTCAACGCGTTGTAGCAATGAAAAAAAGCCACGAGGCTTTCTGAGTATAAATTGGTTTAAGTAGCTGTTTCATTTTACAATAGCGATTCGCTTCTAACACTTCGCCGGTCGCTGCTACAAACAGACAATCAAATCTTTCCTCTTTATAATATTAGTATAGATAAGCAACCAAAATAAAGGTCATACCACCTATTATTACGGATATTAATCTTATATAAACTGCTTAAAAACAAATAAATTCACAATTTTTTTTGTTATTCAAATAATAATTTCTTTTTGCATTCACTTACTTTTCTTTTAAAAACATTAACTGAAATTGAATAAACATCTATCTTATTTAAATATTTATGGTAAAAACTACATGTTTTCCTGAGAAAGGTATTCTGCGCATATTTTGATTACAAAACCCAATATAAAAAGTTTCTTTAGAAAGTGAGTTCTGTTAAATTTTGTGTGCTTTCATAGATGGGAGATGCTGCAGACGGTGGATCGGTTGCCGATAACAAACAAAACTATGGTGCAAGAGAGTCGTTTCTTCACAATTGTCGAACGTTGGCTCAGTGCCGCTGATAACACAAATGAATTAATCCTTATTGATGAAGCTACTGGTGAGTGACTGATTTTGTTTAGATTGATCTTTATATAAACATTATTTAGAAGCTCTGAAGTTGAGAATTCAAACTTATTTCGTTCTGTGTTTGCTAGTTAACCCTTGTTAAATTTTTAGATTTACAATTAAACTAAGATGAAATTATATATTTTACACAATTATTGTAGATGAGACAACTAACGACTGTACATTGATGTCTATGTGTGCAGAAGCGAGACCCCGCGAAACTATTGCGAATGTAAAACTTCTGCGTAATTTTAGTACATTGCACTTTTTTTTTGCATCAACTTTCGTGGCTTGTGGGTGGTAATAAAGTGGTGAGAAATTAGAGTGAGACAAAACACATACGAAACGCTAACATGCTTCAAGCAGATGCGTTAGTGTACAATTTGCTTATAACCAATGAGCTCCCAGGATACGACTATTCGTAATGACTGTATGAATAGAGGCGGTTGGGAAAAGGGGGTAACGTTCAAATTTACCTGCGAAATGGGATCCCGGAATATTCGTATATAATGGTAACCTGAGATGTCGCTATGTTTATATTACGTTATGTCAATCAAGTATCATCACCGAAAATGTTGTAGTAAATTATATTATTTTGTTAGCATCACAAATATCTTGTCTTACCCAGGCTTACCAGTGGATTTGGGAAACAGAACCGCTCAAGACAATGCACTGGCGGAGAAGAATAAAGAAATCTCACAAAAAGTAAAAGAACTCTCAAGTCAGCTACTTGAACGTTGGTCGAGCCTCAAGGTATGTTGTTGCAGATATCACTCATTATTTAAGTATGACCACTAGGCCAGTGCCTGTGTAATAGGGTATAGTCTGTTTAAAAAGGTACTTTTACTTATTTAATTTTTTTTTCTGGTTGTATAATATTTACGTCATTCCGATATGTACCCAAAACATACACATATAGTATTATTTAATAGATTCATCGTTATCCATCAGACAAGAAGAGCCTAACGATTTGGCTCGGAGATGTAAATAAGGCCATCTAGGAATTTGATTTATAATAAATCTGACATATGCGGAAATATTTCTGCCATAATGATGTCATGTCATTGTGGGTTATGTTTTAAGCCAAAATAATATAGATAATTGTGCGATTTTATGACCCGAAAGTGCATTTAAATGTAAATTTTAGAATGTGTACCAATACGTGACTTATTTTTCACCACCCATTGTTAACAAAATAAATATATAATTTTTTTTTAAATATAGGAAGTATTCAAGATTCCAAAAAAGGAGCGTATACAACAAATGAAGGAACATGAACGGCAAGCGAACGTGGAACGTCGCGCTGCGGATTCTAGCGGCTCCAGAGATAGAGACCGTGAGCGAGACAAGCGCGAAGAGAGAGACAGAAGAGAAGAGAGGGACAGGCGCGACGAGAGGGAGAAGGAAAGAGAGAGAGAACGAGAACGGGAAAGGGAACGGGAGCGGGAGCGGGAACGTGAACGCGAACGCGAGCGGGAGCGGGAGAGAGACCGTGAGAGGGACAAAGACAGGAGTGATAGGGAGCGTGACAGAGACAGATATAGAGATCGTGATAGGGACGACAGAGACAGAAGGAAAAGGCGCGGCAGTCCTGAAGGCAGAAGAAGTATAAAGTAAGTTTGAGTAACATTTAGGTTTGTTTTTGTATTCCACATTCAATGGAATAGAAGAAAGTTCTAAAGTCCACCGAAAACTTCGCGAATTCAATACCGATTTCTTAAAATTCCGTTTCCTTGGGGGGTCCTATAGAAGTATTTTAAAAAAATCTGTCATATAACAAAAATACCTTTATGACCTATTTTTATTGAAAACCTATTAGTTTAACAAAACCACAAAAAATCGTTGAAAACCCAAAAGATCACGTATTTTGCTTTTCTAAGATTTTTGTAATGTAATATAATATTATATTTGATCAATTTTGCATTCATAATATTATACTGGAGGATATTCTTAATGGAAAATTCTCAAAAAAGATTGCCTTGATATTGATGAAAATATGCTCTTTACTAGCGAAAAATTAATAAGAGCTTGAAAAATTCCGTCAGCCCTGATAGATCCTGGGTAGCTCAGTGGCTTAGAGCAGTTGCCCGTATTGCGAAATGTCATGGGTTCGGATCTTATTTACCAGTGACAAAGTGGATTTTTAAGCATTTTTCATTAAGTAACATAATATTTTTGAATTTCAGAAAGACTATTTGAACTATCGAGTTAATTGTTGTTTTCTCTCATACATTTCTTAGGAACGAGTATTTATATATGCATATATTTTTTTTATTCTTTTACCCATGTCCATATGTGTATTTTTTTGCATTTATTATTTCATTATATGTTTAAATATTTATACTAATTATATATATTAGGTTAAGCGAGCGTGTTCTAGCAGCGGTACCGCCTATGTCTAAAGAGGAAAGAAGGCGAGCTTTCGCCGAAGCCGCCGCGGCCGCGGACGAGAACCGAACCCGGAGCTGTGAACAGGCGCGATGGCCTCCGTACTGGCCCAATCAGGACGCGTACCCTCACCAGGTGCAGGTGAGACGTGATGATGAATGAAAAACTTGTAATCGTACACAAAATACCCCATTCGAAGTGATACGATTCGGACCGAGACGTTAATAGGCTGGTTTTGTTGATGTCACAATGTCGTGTCTTTAAAAAAAAATGCCATAGGAAGGTCAACAATCAGAGAATACTAAAGTTTACACTTTACTATGATAAAATTGGGTAGAAGTATTTGTGCGAGAGCAATAGCAATATTTTTGCGTACGAATGAAAGAGATATGTAATGCCCACTTGTATGAAATTCTTTCTGATCAGCGACTGGACTATATAACTTCTTTGCTACTTATAATCAACCTATTGTACCTTGAGGTAGATGATCGATTTTTGTTGACATACCTACATTGTGTTAGTATATTAAAATAAACTTGAAAATATTCATAAATATCAAATTATTCTCATTAATGTATTAATTAAAAATATTTCTTAAAAACAACTTTTAGTCAGAACCCAATGCTTTTAGCTTGAACCAGTGATGTACCTAAATAACTTTAACAGAAATAGTTTTTTTTTTGTTGTGAATTTTTTTTTCTATATTATGAACAAACTTTGGTTCGAGTCCAGCTCGGTATCAGAGGGAGTTAACTTTTCTAAGTCTAGATTAACATCAAATGTTTGAGACCAGTGTTACAGTTCCTCATAAGTGTCATGTTTTGGTTTAAATTTATTAATAAAATTGTGTCTCAGGTATGTTAATAAGAATTCAATTTGTGAAACTTGAGTGTATCTTGTTTTATTCATAATCCAACTTTTTGAAGTCCAAAGCCACAATCTAAAAATTATACTAACATAGAAATCTTTAATCAATAGAACATGCAAATGTTTCCTGGCGCGATGGTGGGGGGCGTAGGCGGCATGGGGCCGATGGGCGGAGTTGGGGGCGTGCCTGGATGCGAGGGGGAGTGGGGGGGTGAGTTCCCGCAACAGTTCTGTCCGCCATTCCCCTCGCAGCCTTTTTGCATGCCACAACCAAAGTAAGTACCTAAAAAAGAAATAATTTCAATGACATAGATTAATTTTACAATGAATTTATTGTATTAAATAATGTTGTCTTAAATAGGACCATATAACAAAAATATAATGGAAAAGTTGTCCTAAATAGGACAACATTATGATTTTTGCTTAACACAGACCATAGAAATGTTAGTTTAACTAGACATGTTATTTAATGCATTAGTTAAATTGTTTAGTAAATAAAATAATGAACAATTCATGAATATTGTGTTGGTTAACTAAATACTATAGAAGAGTAAGTTTTTAAGTTAATTTTACTACGAGTTTTCGTTATCATGAAAACTTATGTCTCGACCACATTTGACGTAACATCTAGCAAACACATAAAATAACATAAAAATATTCGTTCAAATATACCAAATGCGGATCTATTTGTATCAATAGAAGATCAATTATTCACAAAGTGATTTGACAAGCCTAGTTAGCTGTCAGATTGAATAATTACGTCACAGTTAAAATTGCCGCGTTTTTCCGTCTAATTATTGATTTTATTTTTTATTTAAAGGTAGATTTAAAAAAAAAATGAATGTATATTGTAACCTAATTAATTTAAAATAAGTTTTGAGATGTTGTCAACTCCCAAATAAAAACTGATTAAATAAATTGCGTTTATATTATTTATATGTTTAAAAAATACCTTCAACTGAGTTACCCTTTTTAAGAGTTGCTTTTTTGTCATCAGTATGATGGGCATGGCCGGGTATGGTATGGGCGGGTTTATGTTCGGGCAGCAGATGCAACAAATGCCTCAAATGCCACAGATGCCGCAAATGCCACAAATGCAGCAATTTGCGCCGCAACCACAGCCGCTGATGGATCCCACACAACCGGTCAGTGAAATGCAATTCTCGTTATCTGTTCTTATATTATAAAGAGCTTACTTTGTTTTTTTGTTGTTGTTTGCGAAGAGCTCGATGATGCAGTGGTTAGCGCGCTCGGTCTACTTTACGGTTGTTAAGTAACTTGGGTTGGGATTGGTGACCAAATATTTGTGATCTTGAACTCCGTGCTTCTCTTTTTTTAAGCCGTAAGTCCCGGCTGCATCTGAAGTCGTTAAAACCAACCAAATGCCACAGGACCCGCGTGGTGGGTCATGGGCCATTCTCCTTAGGGGCCGTCCATTAATCACGTGAGGCTCGAAAGGGGTGAAGAGGTTCGTCAAAAATCACGACATATCCCAAAGGGGGGGGGGGGGGGAGTGTAGTAATATATCACTTGTATTAAGATTTTTTATAGGTACTAAAAAACACGTGATTTTGGTGGGGGGTGGGGGTAGTCTTAAACTTCACTATGTCACCAAGGGGGGCTAAAATGTTGAAAAAACATCACGTGATTAATGGACGACCCTTTATTGAATAGTAAAATAGCTAGTTATATTAAAGATAAGTTAGTGCGGGTCAAATTTTGCAATCAATTATGCTAATATAGCTTAATTGAAAATTTAACAAGTTCCACAGCCATAGCTACATTATAATTAAGTAACGTCTCTCTAGTTTGAGCTTGTGTCTACAAGATCTATGGTTCAAGATAATATAGGTACAATATATGCTTGTTTTTATTGGGGTTCCATAAAAAAAAACAGAATAAAATAAATGTTCAAGGCGGTTCCCATACACGAAACGTGTTTCTTTTTTTCCGTTTTTCATATACAATGATACAGAATCCTTTGTCTTGTGGCACTGAAACGGTTTTTAAATAGAGAATTTTCATTTTTCCGACCTCCGTAGCTGATTTGTTCCCACGCCGATTTCAATGAATCATCTCTGAAGGTCCCTGGTTCTATACCGGGATATTGTGTAAGGTCTGCGTATTGTGGTGACTCTGAATGGCGAATAAAACGAATTTAAAATTTCATCTTTCCGACCTCCGTTGCCGAGTTGTTCGCACGCCGGTTTGAATGAATCATGTCTGAAGGTTCGGGGTTCTATACCGGGATATTGTGTCGGGTCTGCGTGTTGCGGCAACTTTGTTTTCTCATATACTCCACGATACGGGGGCTTTTGCTACTCATCTTAGAATCATCTGAGCAATGAACGTGTTGTTGTATATAATATTTCTCTTGTCGTACAGCCACCTGGTATGATGTTAGCGGAACCATTGCCCACCGCGCGTATAACGCCGCCCGCGGCAGCGGCAAACGTGGCGGCGAGCGGCACTGTTGGCACTGTCGGCAGTGTTGGCACTCTCGGCAGTGAGCGCAAGGAGGTGTTACTGCCGTCTATGTGGCGGTCGGCGGTGGACGAGAAGGGCCGCACGTACTATTACCATGTGAAACTGCGGCAGCCGCAGTGGACGCCTCCCACGCCGCCCCCGCCCCCATCACCAGGTATGGACGTTTTCTCGATAACACAAGTGTATAGTGATAGAAAGGACTCGAGTCTTTTAGCCTTTTCTTTAGACATGCAGCCTTATTGACAGGCCTAGAAGGCTAAATAGGTTTTAAGCCCTCGAGATTTATTTTAAAAAAAACTTGACTAGTGATAAAAGGCTCGAGCCTTTTTCAGTTTAGTTTCCTTTTTAAACTCGTAATGACAAAGACAAGGCTTTAGGAACTCGAGGTAAATAAAATAAGGCTTTTGGCTCTTTCCTTCTCTTTGGGGTTGGTCATGAGATATAAAAAAATGTAGTGAATGATACAGGAACGAAAAAAAGTAAGTTTTATATTTATTATCTAACGATAAAAAAAAAATTCACATTTATACAATATATGACAAAAAGTGATAACGTCAATTGAGATGTATTGATTTAATTTGGTCGCGAAATAGTTTAAACCTGCCACTAAAGTTAGTACTCATTTTAAAAGAATATTGTATGTTTATATATTGGTTCCAGAGATTTTGTCGTATTTAAGACTTATACGGCCGGTTTCTGAATTGAGAAAGTACAAAATCTCATCTGATTATTCTTAATAAATTAAGTTTTTTTACGTTTCATATGGCAAAAAGTATTAGATTTACCAAATTGCTATCAACTGATAATTAAAAATTTATAAATCAGCAATGAAAACGTGTTTTAATGACATTTAAAGTGGCTGAAGCACGTGCTCAACTTCAAATTCTCAATTCAGAAACCGGGCGTTAATCTCGACTCCATAGTCAGGTTGACTCCCTGCACTATATTATACTGAATTTTATTGTTTTCCTTATACACAGATGAAAGTTCTTCAGAAGAAGAAGATGAACCAATGTCTGCCATAGATACTGCAATAGTGAGGAGGCAGATGAAAGGCAAACTTGTGGAGGGAGTTAACGGCATATACGAAGGTAAATACTTGAATAAACTGATAAGCAAAAGTTCCAGATCATTTACAAAAACTTTGTAAGAAGAAATAAGCGATAAATTGAAACAAAATATATATATATATATATTTCACTCCATTGTAAATTCACGTTTATCTATTCTTATTTTAACTAATTTCAATGGACTGTGTACGATATTTTGGATGAAATCAAGATTCGTGTAAGGGACTCGGACTCTTTCTTGTGGAGCTATTTTCCTGCGACTTTGCATCTTTTAATGAATTTTTAATAATCCGTACAGCAGTTTCGGGGCCTGAATAGGCAACGGGACACTGTAAGTACTAAAACCACCTCGTACAATAAACTGTAGTGTGTTCGAGAAAACGATACGGATTGTATGGATAGCGATACGTATCGCTACATTTAACGCTCACATATTAGGTATTTTAGGTCAATATCCTTTTTTCGATAAGTTTCTCTCGATAAGTGGAAGTTGCTAAATATTATTCAGTTATTAATATTATTAGTATCTACTGTTAAAACAGTAGGATTGGTAACACTGCTTTGGTGTGAGATCAAAATTTTGACAAAAAGCTTAATGAAAAATATTATTGTTACTCTGTGCTAGGATACAAACCTGTGACCTTTTGCAACCCGGGTGATTGCTTTAAGCCACTGAGCTACCCAGGACCTAAAACGACTGACATTGACTCCCATTTCATACATTGACTCCCATCTCAGAGTGCCAGGACAAAGTGGATTTTTAAAGCATTTTTCATTAAGAATATTTTACAGTATAGCATTATTAATGCAAAATTGATCTAATATAATAAAAAACTTACTGACGAGGAACCGATGCCTAAACCCTGGGAAGTATAGTCACTACCTTGAGTGGCTAGCGGAGTTCATCAGGCATCTACTACACATCATTGATGACTCACTACTGCGTACAAACCCCGCCAACGTTATGAATACGCTGCAGAAGATTCTCAAACTGTCGCCGCACGTCGATTATAATACTATTTTAGCAACAGATATGTAGACATTGTACGAAATTCTCCCATTAGTGCCCCTTTATAGACGGTGATTGAATTGCGAAAAGAAACAGGTTTGTGTCAGTTGTCTAATTAAATATTACAAAATTTTATTGAGCTTGGTTTTGGTTGTTTCAGTAATAAAAGAAGACTCTCATAACGGACTGATTCCTGATCACGCGTTGCTCAATATGAAACCGAGAAAACGACGGCCCGGACTTGTTTCAGAAAGGCCTATAAGCGTAAGTGATTTCGTTTATGTAATGAGAAGTAATATGCGTACTAAATAAGAATAGAAAAGGACAGCTACCAACTTTATAGCAGAACTATTATTACAAATTTAATCCTGATATAATAGGATAGTTTCTTCGGTAGTGAAAAATAAGTGACAAAATTGCACAAAAACTAAAATTAACATTTAAGTAATAGATATTCTGATTTTGGGTCATAAAATCTCACGATCATAATTAACCTCTGAAATAATTAATATAAGCAACCTTGATAAAATTTGCATGCATTTGTTTTATTAGGAAATCGCAAGGATAGGTTTAAAAAAATATATGCACAGTAAAATACATCTTATATTTTCAGGTCATATTTTATTTTCGAATTATTCTTCATTAAAATAGATATGTAGGTAAAATCAACTGTTGCAGTTCTGCAATACAACACATCACTGGCCTTATAAAAAATGTTTTTCTCATAGAATGAGTTACCTATTCGATACGAGAGTAGAATATTGTTTACATCTTTGAAGGAGAAGTGTTTTGGGATGATTTAGGGATAGTAGTAGTGAACATGGATAAATAGAGGATAGGTTTTTGAAAAACATGGAAGCAATAGGGGTGTAAATAACTTTTTTATATACTTTTATTTTATAGATATATATGAAAAATAACTAAAAATATATAATTCATATAAGAAGATAAAATCTAAAACAGATTTCAGTTTTAAATTTCTCGCGAACACGCCACTTCTGTAATAGCGTCGCTAATACGTCACGGCACTCTGAAACGAATGTCGTTCTATGTATGCATAAATTTGAATTCTCTAAGTTTTGATATGAGTAAGAAGGGCGTGCGGTTAGGAAGGCTGTTTGCGGTCACGTAATAAAGAACATAAAATATTAGTTTTTTCATAATTAATTAAGCAATATTAACAATATAATAAGCATAAAAGTGTGATTATCGGTAATAGTATACTAAACACTACCAAACAAAAAAAGGGTTTACTATCTACACCAATATCGCGCGATATTTTTTATCGTAGGAGGTTTAAGTATTCAACTTGCGAAATAATAGTGTAAGTAAAGCAAAATTAATAATTATTAATTTAAAAATACCAAAAAATAATATAGATAATTTCACTACATCTATTTGTAAATAGATGTTTTCGAATTCATTGATAAGAATGGATGGAGCCAAAAGAATTTTAGATTTCTTTGTAGGTATGAAACAACTAGTCAAGTGCGAGTCAGATTCACGCACGAAAGGTTCCGTACCGGAAACACGCAAAAAAATCATGTCATGTGTTGGAACCCCCTTCAATATTTATTTTGGTTTTTAATATTTGTTGCTGAAGCGGCAACAAAAATACTTCTTGGTGACAGATAGACAGAGAGCGAAGTCTTAGTAATAGAGTTCCCGTTTTACCCTTTGGGTACTACTTAACCCTAAAAACGCAAACAAATCACGTGTGCCAATTTTATTATCATCTTGCAAATTAATGACAGGTGAAATTAAAATTCTGACGATTCTGTGCGTTTGACATGTGTGAGCGTTTGAAATTGGTATCTTTCGTCTCTTTCACTCACGTTCAATTCTAAAAGACACGCGATTACCTTTATAACTTCTATACCTGAGTAACTCCTTTTTTTGTGTCTACAAAGCGTAATGTCGTAGATCTGCAACTCAATGTTTTTTGATTGAAAATAAAATAAAAGGGCGAATTTATTTTACTTAATTATTTTTTTCTAGAAACATAACGCATAATATATTATGATGCGAAAAAAATCGGCGCATTTAAGGGTTAATAGTATGATTTTGTTGAAACGTTTGTCGTTATACAAAACAGCCGCGTACCGAAGAGGATAAGCTGGCCGGTCGTATGGAAGTGAAGAGGTACAAACAGACTAAGGAGAAGTTGCGTCGTCGCCGTGAACGTCTCGTGCAGCGAGTGAGACTGTTGGCGGCGAGACGGGCGAGAGACGTGCCCGCCGATCTCAATGATCTTAAGGTAATTAATCTATACTAAAATTATATAACGGATAATTATATTTGAATAGGCTCCAAAACTTCTGCAACGATCTCAAACTTTATTTTATTTGTGTGAAGCGTTATTCTGAATCTAAGATGATTATATTTATTTATTTATTTATTTATTTATTCTTTATGCACAATCGTACAAAGGCGGACTTAATGCCTTAGGCATTCTCTGCCAGTCAACCTTTAGGTGATGTGGAGATTAAAATAAAGGATAAAAGTAGGTGCATATGTAATCTTTGAGAGAAAAAAAAAATAATATAAAATAAGCATAACACAAACATACATACTATATATAACATAATAATATATAACATAATACATATATAATATAATAAAAATAAATACAATACATACTTATAAATACTATGCCTAGTAGAAATGAGATAGCAATTTTTATGATTCTGCCTGATCTAATATTAAATTGCGCAACTTGGATTTAAAAGCAAACCGACTGGCGGACATTCTGATGTCTGTGGGGAGTGCATTCCATAGGATAATGGCTTTAACAAAAAAGGAAGAGTGGATGATGTCAGAGTGATGAGCAGGACACATAAGTAGTCTATTAGAAGAAGATCGAAGGTCTTTTGTATGACTCGTACATAAGTACTGAAAGTGTGGAGTGAGGTAGCTTGGAGCGTTAGGTGATTGCAACAAAGAAAACAGGGTTGTTAGAGCACGGACATCTCTACGCTTTCGAATAGGCATCCATTTCAAAAGGGAGCGATGGGCAGACACGTGGTCGTATTTACGGAGATTGAAAACGAATCGAATGCAGTTGTTTAAAACACGGTCAAGTTTATTGAGTAGATCTGCATTCAGGTCGAGATAACACACATCACCATAGTCGATTATGGGGAAAATTAAAGTCTGCACAAGCATTGCCTTGGTTTTGCTAGGTAGAAAGTTTTTCAAGCGATACAGCGCACGCAACGTTCCAGTAACTTTTTGACAAATTGTAGTCGTTTGAGTCTGCCAGTTCAAATTAACATCAATGTGAAGTCCCAGGTCTTTAACACTATCGCTAAACGGTATTGAGGAGCCGTCATACAGGATAGAATGGAGATTAGTGCTGTCGATCCTACTCATCATCACGCGGCTGCCCACAAGTATAGCCTGACATTTCGCCGGGTTTACATGAATGCCAAAATTTTTAGACCATACGAGTATTGTGTTAAGATCCCTATTTAGTGCATCAATAGAATTGTTCAACCTATCGACGTTTTCCTGAGCATATAACTGTAAATCGTCAGCATACAGATGATACGAGCACTGAAGTTTAGACGTAATGAAGTTAATGAAAATTGAAAAGAGAAGAGGAGAAAGAATGCCGCCTTGGGGAACGCCAGCAGCGAGCCCACTCCAGGATGAGGAGGATTCACCCAACCGGACAGACTGCTGACGGTCCCGAAGATATGAGGAGAACCACTTTAGCTCATCGTCAGAAACCATGAGATATTCCAGCATAGCAAGAAGGATGTCATGATTTACCGTGTTGAAGGCATTGGAAAAATCGATAAGTACAAGACATGTTATTCTTCCACTCTCCATTCCCACTCTAATGTCACCGGTAACCTTAAGGAGTGCTGTCACTGTACTGTGTCCTGGTCGAAAACCAGATTGTAATGGGTTTAATAAAGAATTCTGGAAAACATATTGAGAAAACTCCTTATGTACGCAGGCCTCCAGGACTTTGGACAAGAAGGGAAGGATAGAGATGGGTCGAAATTGATTGGCATGTGTTGGATTGGGAACTTTCGGGAGAGGTCGGACATAGGCCTTACACCACAATTTAGGGAAAGTGCAGGAGTCCAGAGAGAAGTTAACAATGTGACATATAGCAGGAAGAAGATGATCTAGAATGGTGACAATCATACGGCGACTTATTCCATCGCAGCCCACTGCATTTGACTTAATAGAAAGTATAATCTTTCTGACTTCTGACGTTGAGACTGGTGAAAAACAAAATGGAGCAATATTGCGACGCGTTAGACCATTTATAGAAGCAACTGTACTTGCAGCAGTAAAGTCATCTAATTTTGAAGAAGTGGAAAAGTGACGATTAAGCTCGTTTAATTCTACAGAAACTGGAAGGTCCATATTTCGCGATTTACCGATACCCAGAGTTCCTAGAAACTTCCAAATATCAGCAGAAGATGAAGAAGAAATATAGAAATATATTTTTATATACAAAATAAAAATAGTATCGTAATTAACCTCATTTTAATTGCTCTACATTATTTAGAGCATTATTTATTTAGTTTTTATTACATTGCACTCATAAATATTAACACTACCTTGTGCCCGCGACTTAGTCCGCATGGTAAAGTTACTTTAAGCAGCATTTCTAACGAATATTTATTTATTCGTTCCATTAGGTACTGATAGGTTCAAACTAATACATTTACATCCTCCATCATCCTTTATTTTAGCACCATAGGGGTTGAATTCATCAAAATCCTATTTAAGCGGACGTCTTCATTATAGTATCTCCAATCTTTAATTTCAGTTCAATCAGTCGAAAATCTGAGAAGATTTATACAAACTTTCATCCCCTATTTTATTCCCTTAACAAAATCCTTTCTAAGGCGATGCCTACTTCATAGTAGCTTTATGCATGCAAAGTCTCAGCCCGATCGGTTTAAAATTGACAAAGTGTCATAGAAACTTTCATCACCTATTTTATCCCCTTAGGGGTAGAATCGATCAAAATCCTTTGTTAGCGGATGTCTACATTGTAATATCTACCTGCATGCCAAATTTCAGCCTGATCCGTCCAGTGATTTGGGCTGTGCGTTCATAGATCACTATGTCAGTCAGTCACCTTTGAGTTATATATATTGAGATATACAGTATTGTTTACTATACCCAATTAAAAGCAACATATTATATATGTAAATGTGCATAACACACTGATCACGCACACACTAGCGTCCGCAGCTATGACAATTTATAACCTCAACCAGTATTTAACAGCATATGGATACTTAAAAATCGTTGAAGAACATACTACTTAAAATACATATACCTGAAACATCGCTAGTGTCATAGAGATTTAACTTTGCTTTTCTATTGATATCTTATATTTTTAGGTGCACTATCCATAAATGAAACAATTTTAAAAATAATTTAATTTAATAAATGTTATTGTTGCCATAAAATATTTAAAAAAATGTATTCTAATGTGTCTAATAGTATTTATTGGTTTTGAAGGTAGCTATACTCTCAATTAAAAAGACAATCAACACCTTAGTCATGTGACCACGTAACCAGTAAATTGTTCGAAACGTCAATAAAATGAAATACAAACGCGATGAAAGTATTTAAAATTTATTTCATTTTTGCTTTCCCAGATATATATATTTCTTTAATCATATTATTATTTAAATATATCTCTGGCGATCTCTGCTTCCACATATATTTACAACAACATACATTAAATTTATTATAATAACGCAGATGATAGATTTGGAAGAGACGGACAGCGAGACCGACGAGGATCCGGATGACGTGCCGGAGAAGGTCCGCTCCCCCTCCCCCCCGCCGGTGGCGGCGGAGCCGTCCCCCCCCGCGCTGGACGAGGAGGGCGTGCGGCGCATCAAGGAGCAGTTCCGCAGCAGCATGGCGCGCGTGATGGTGCACCACCTCAACCCGTACAGGCACTCGGACGCGCCCGCCGGCAGGATCACCTGCACGGCTGACTTCAAACACCTCGCCAGGAAGGTGAGGTGTATGCTTAGACATAAATGTGCAACCGCTTATAAAACTTGATATTTCAGTATGTTGAAGTACTGTAACGGTGTGCCGTACCACGTAGCGTAGTTGATAAGCGCCGTGGCCCGCGATCATTGTTGTTAAGCAACTTTCGCAAGAGTAGGTTACGGCATGGGTGACCAAAAAATTATTATCTCGAGCTATTCCGTGCTTCGGAAGGCACGTTAAGCCGTTGGTCCCGGCTGCATTTGCAGTCGTTAATACCCTCCAATCCGCATTGGGCCAGCGTGGAGGGTCATGGCCCATCCTCCTTAACCATCCATAAGGAGGGCCTGAGCCCCTGCAGACGTAAAAAGGCTGGTGATGATGATGAATTTGAATTTTTGATTAATCAGATATAGTCTTAATGAATGTCAGTTCGTCAAAAAATAATCTAAAGTCAGCGGGGGGTGACTGACATTTTTTTACAGCTTCGTATCATAAACCCATACATGACGATTTAAAGACGACATATTCAAATGGGCATACAGTACATAGAGTACATCTCAATACGGAGGTCTGACGCTGGAACACCTGCCATTCGTTTTACATTTCTCAATAGCTTTCAAAGATACGAACAGATATTAGCACTTGCCTCAGACTATTTCAATTAATGTGAAATTAACGATATTGTTCATTCAATAGATCTAAAAAAGAAGAAAGCACTAAAAAGCACTTCCACTAGATGGCGACTCTAGCTAAAGTTGTTTTTGCAGGAAACGAATGGACCAAAGATAGTCATTTTCGTTCCTTTTAACTAACATATAAATAGACTGAAATTGCAAAGGTCGAAACTTTGACATCAATACTAATACAAAAAATTACAAATAGAATATGAGTTGTTTATTTTTTTATACATGACAGAAAACCGGAATGTTGTCATGGAGAAATCAAGAAAGCACCGCAGCGACATCTAGTTTGATTTCAGGAACTATTTTTTTTAAATACTTATTCAACGCAATCTCATATCAAATAGTTGTAGTGTGAAATTCATAAAAATCTTTCAAATGTCAATGTACGTGCAACAACTTAAATATTATGATAATTACTGTAAATCATGGTTACATTCTTTTTCTTTTATTAAACCTACTTATATCAGACGTAAAGAAGAAATGTATAAAAACTTTACTACTAGTTGTACCTGAAGATTGATGATCGATTTTAATCAAGACATTTTCATTATAAACTAATATATTTTTTTGTTTCAGCTCACGCACTTTGTTATGTTAAAAGAATTGAAGCACTGTCGTAGTGTAGAAGAGCTGGTAGTCACCGATTCTGTACGGTCGAAAGCCAAAATGTTCGTGCGGAAGTACATGGCGAAATTCGGCCCAGTGTACAAGCGACCACCCGAAGAGGCAGACTAGCAGGAAATGAGGCGGTTTCGCCTCTCGCTGTTACACAAAAAAGTGAGTCGAACAAACGCCAGAAAAACAAATGATAAAGTGAAATAGTGTAATTTACAAGCCAATGCATTGATAAAAATTCGGTTAAAAGCGGCTATTACTGCCATCGTCTTAAGTGTGTTAAGCCTTGAACAGTGATAGAAGTGAGTGATGAAGTGAAGCAGCCTTGTTGGGATATTTTCGAGGTAAATAGCTAAAATATGTTTATAATTTAAAAACCAAAGCACTTCGAATGGTATGTGGTATATGGCTGATTATATCACTGCTGAGAAAATTTGTGCTGGAGTATGACTGTGTTCATAATAATTTTTATAATGTTATCACTATGGAATGTTGATCACAAATAGCTGATTATTTGATATGGAATAATGATCACAGATAGCCGATAATTTAATATGGAATGATGATAAAAAATAGCTGATTATTTGATATTTTATGTTAGATGAATAAAAATTCATTCATTTGAACATGTATTTGAGATATATTTGCATTTTTTTAATGGGTGAGTCAGTCACTTTAAATTTTTAATGTCACATCACCCTTTTATGGACTACTTGCTTTCCGCCAACGGCTTCGTCTGAGTTGTCCTTTATTAAAGTTTGTATATTAATGGAAACCACATAAATATCCATTGTGCAGTTTGAAACATCTCAGCGTTCAGACAGCAGGAAGCCCCTTTGCGTGTATGCCTCCTTAATACATGTCAATATCAAAGTTCCTTTACTATTCAATAATAAATTAACTTTTTTAATTTAAAAAAAGAACGCTACAATTGCTCCACTGACCTCAGGAAGCATGCTCTCGGCAGTCTTTAAATAAGAATATTCAATTTCATTTGAATTTATCATCATAATAGTAAACAAAGCAATAATTATTTGTGATCATGCGGATTTCAACAGCAACATATTTTTTTTAACAAATATTTCACTGCCAATTTTGATTTTCACGTCACTTGGGAAGTCAAAAATAATATGTATTAAATAATAATTACATTTCGTTATGTTTAAGTAGTTTGCAATTTATATACCAATATGCTATTAAGAACAGTTGATCCCTGGCGTAATGGGAAGCTAAAGAGAATTGAGTGTCACAAGACATGTATCGCTTTCTTGACTTTTATAATTATTTTTATATATGTTTGTCAATTCAGTCAAGAAAGGTGTGATTGACCACACTATTCCTTTCCATATATCTGAACTAACAGAGCATGCATTGCTTCACTTTTTCACCAGAGTAATTAAAAAAGGTTTATGTTTTTCTTTTTTTTTTCTCAGTTCTCACTTGTCAATGTTTAGTTTAATTATGCAAATATAGAAGTAAATATACATAATTTATTATTTAGTCGGCTTACTCTGTTGATGCTCTTTTCTTGTCGACACCATGATATTATGTTTGCTAAATTAAAAAAATGTTAACCTAACTTCAAGATCAAGAAAGCGAATGACGCAAACAAATAGTTTGCCTCGATGGACTTCACAAATCTCTGCCTACCTTTATCTGGCGTAAATAAAGATAATATAACTATAGCATATTTGTATCTTTGTCAAATAAACTTTTATTTAAACATTTCATTTTATTTAGTTTTTTTAGTTAAATTGGCTTAACTTTAATTTTAAATTTTGATTAAAAATCATGCTATATGTATTAAATAAACTGATGTTATTCAAATTAAAATTTATTTTAATAGTACCAATTTAAGGTCGAAATTTGCGTTGTCTACTTTAACAACTGCAATGATTTATGTATGATTTTTCAACTTAAACATTTTGCGTATCAAAGTGAGATTTTAGTTATGGTTCTTACTAACTATTTTATAATAGTCATTTTTATTGCTGTTTTTGTGTTATTCTAATTAATTCCAAAATTTTAAGAAATTTAATCATAAAGTCATGAGTTGAACTTCAATTTTTATATATACAAGAGGATAGTTGTTACCGTTCAGATTTGTTCTGTTGGATTATACGAAAGGCGTCTAAGGAATACGCGATTTGGTAACGGTTCAGCGCAGGCGCAACTTGGTTGTTAAATCTTTATACCTACTACCTACCTAGTTACCTAAATTATTATTATACCAATTCCAACGATGATCGCACGTATGATTAAAATTTGTGATGAGTCTTGTTTCATTGAGGTAGTATTTAAAAAAAAAAACTTAGTTCCCGAAATCAAACTAGGTGTCGCCACGGTACGTTCTTGATTTTTCCATGGCAACCTTTCCGGTTTTATTTCAAGTTTAAAAGTAAACTAGTTTTCAAAACTCAATAAACAACTCAAATTCTATTTGTACTTTTTCGTATTTGTATTGATATCTAAGTTTCGAACTTTTCAAATTTCAGTTTTTTTAAATATGTTAGTTAAAAGGAACGGAAATGACTGTCTTTGGTCCATTCGTTTTCTGCAAAAATCAACTTTTGCTAGTCGCCATCTAGTGGAGGTGCTTTTTTAGTGCTTACGTTTTTTTTTAAATACTTCCTCATTTTGTCGACGTTTGCTGCGCTTTGAAATTTAGCCTTCTGCTCAGGTATAACCGCGAGCACTAGTTGTGTCTTACTGAAACTTAACATTAACTTTGAGATGTGTATAAATCGCATTTCTAAGTTCGTTAAGTCTGAAAGGTATGCGACTTTAAGATGAAATGTTTACATATTACCAACATTAGTCATATATATTATTTTAATTTAATTCTTTGCGGGATATCCGAACAAATTTGAGCACCACAAGGCACGTTCTTTACATATTTATCTTTTGAAACTGATATTTCTTATTTGTTCATGCTCACCGGGCTTATGCTTGGACTTTCCGGGTACATCCTTCTTTGTACTTTTCAAAACTCTAAACCAACAAAGCGTGCCTTTACCAGCTTTTATACAGACACTATTTTGTTTGCTGATATGAATGTGGATGTTTGCTCATATTTCTTGTGACCCATCTGCCTGCAACAGCTTAAAACCTTCTTTGTGTGTATTATAAACAAAAGAAAAGTCAACTCTACAATTGCTTGCAACAGGCTTTATGTTTTCAATGCAAAATATTGTTAATTTTCTTTGGTGGAGTACCTTTTATGATTTTAAGTTTCAATTACGGGACGTGACCATGTTCCATGACTCTTAAAGTCCTATATAAATAGATAACATACCTTCAATTATGTATAAGTTATTTAATGTAAATATAGCATTATAAGATGTAAGTAGTTTTATATTTGAAAAAGTCTTTCTTATTTCTAAGTAGGACATATGATTAAATATTGTATCAAGAACATTATTGGAATATATTTAAAAATCTGCATTATTTTTTATGATGTCAACACCTCTAAAGTCCTATGTATTCACAGTTTGATGATCTCTTGACTAGGGGTATGATGACTTGGTTTCTATATTTTAATAGAAAATAAACTCGAATAATGTATTTTACTGAAATGATTTTTGTTTAAGTACAGTATTACATGATTATAGGGTATATAATGATAGTTTTGTATAGTACTGATACGTAAATAGTGGGATGTCTTCAACCTGTTTTTCGATTTCATAAAACATTTGTATACGTTAAATAACTTAAAGGATGACAACTGGGTAAAAAATTTGTCCGTCATCCAGATAATAGAAAAATATTATATACGTATTTTTTTTTACTTCAGTTTAACTAGAAATAGCTGAGATAACAGGCATTAAAATTGACGTGTGGCGGTTCGATACGTCACAGTTTTGTAGAAAATGTACCAAAGCATTACGTCACGTGACATTTTAACTCAATGTATCGTTGTAATTTAATGATTACGAAAAAAAATACGTCTTTAATATTTTTCAACAATCTACCTGACGGACTAACAAACAATAATTAATCGTCATCCTAATTGTTGTAGACATTTTATGTAATGACCATTCACACTTATAACATTGAAATTGTGCAATATATTCCACTTTAAATTTTAAAAAAAAATCTCATTGGTGTACTGGTTGTAACACGCGTCCTCGAAGAGAGAATTTCGTACAATGACCCAGCACTACATATCTCTTTTACTCTTGCGCAAACATATAGCTGTTGCGCTCGCACAGATGCATCTAGTCAATTTTGTCATAGTAAAGTGAACCTAAAATGTTTACGATGTCTATTAGTAAGCGCAAAGGTGAACGTTCGAAATTCTGTTCGGCGACCGTCTAATACTCATTAGCAATTATTGAAACTAACAGTATTTAATATTTTTTTTCTAGTTACCTATTTGAGTGTATAGTTCTTTGTTGCGTTTGCTTCGTAGCTTACTGGGCCATATGTGATAGGAGCGGTTAGTTCTCTGAAGGTGATCGCACATTACTAGAAAGCATACATGTAGTGCTGAACGATAATCAGAATAATGTCACTCGTCATTCATTAAAGTTTAAAGAAACTCACTTCTGATAGATATGCGATCACCGTTACGCAAAAATTAGATATGTGTGACGTAACACGTCGTTCGGCGTTGTGACGTCACTAGTTGACAGCAACTATGATCAAGTTAGTAATATGCTTAGTTTAACGATGTTAAAGCGCATAGATTCTATGAAAACACTGTGTAAAATTCCACTTTTACTGCATATGTGAATATATTGCACTATTTTAATTTGCGGAAATATTAAATCAATAGTAAATTAATATACCCTTTTAGTGAATTCAAAATAAAATCCACCTCTAATGTATGTATGAGTAACTATCTGTAAATAAATGATGTATATACGCAGGATATTGTGTTCTGGTTGACAGAGTGAATATTTTATTTTTTATCTGTAGAATAGTAACATTTTTGAGAACGATATGATTGAAATTGCAAAAATAACTGATTTGATGTGAGCTGATGTGGATGAAGCCGTTGGAACAAATAAAATGTTATTTCTTTATAAATTGTTTTATTCAGATTTTATAGCTTTATAATAAATAACAAATTGAACGTTAATTTTTGGATCAGTGCCAATTTGACGAAAAATCCGTCGAGAGTCTCGATAGTATGCGCATGCGCCGGATCATCCGTCGAGTGTGCAAAATATAATGTCATATAAAATAATATATTTTAGGATGCTTATGTTTAATGTTGACTGTTAGCGTCTATTAAGATAGATCAGTGTGACAAAAGAATTCTATTGGTTGATAGGCGTCCCGCCTTTGTACGTTTTCTACATAGCGAAACCCCAGTTCTTAACTTTAATGGCTATTTTCTAAGCTATTTCTTGTTAAATTTAAGTAAAAAAAGTATCCAATATTTTTCTATCTGACCGACTGATTAAATAATTTTTTTTACCCAGTTTTATTATCCATATCTCTGACTGGTTGTTGTAGAAGTAGGTATTGAATTCTAGAACATATATAGACTACTTTTCAAAGAGCTTGTCCTGAATAACTCATCTTTATATGATGACATGTTCATCAGTTCGACAGCAGCGCCACAAAATCACCAGTTTCTCAGTCCTTGTAATGAAAGAGGAACAAATTGTTAAGGTAAAATTCAAGGTAAATAGATTTTGTGGGTACTGCCTAGTTGATGGTAGTATCGGATTTTATGTTTACTGTAAGTACTTGAGGTTTTTTATACAATAAAGTGCCCTACATTACTAAAGGAAGAAAAAATATTAAACTAAATTCAAACAGCAGTTTATTAGTCTACGATTGTTGTTGTCTCCAAAATTCTTCTCTATTCTCTAAGAACCTAATCGCCTCTTCGGCCTGTTTAGTGACAATATCGTTCTTCTTGTCAGCGATGGCCAAATCTGGATTTTTCAATAAATTTTCTAGATATAATTTGTCGGACATCAGCTGGCCCAATACCGGCTTTTGGGATTTTGAAGAAGAGCGTTTTGGTGCAGGTTTTTTTACCGGCTTTTCCCCAATAGTGTTTTCAATCGCCTCCTGAAAATGAAAATAAGTATTTTATTTTTAAGTATAACTACTGTCAACAGCATGTCAGGTTATAAATTTAATAACTTTGTTTGAAACCTTATGAGTTTAAAGTGAGAGTTTAGAATCAACTCGAGCAATTTGACATACTGAGGTAGCTTAACGTGCAGCCGTGTGTACCTACCAGGGCAGCATGAACGTCAATGATATTGTACGTACTAAATCGTGGAAACGTTAATGCCTAAATCGATTAGTCTCCAACGTCCGATGCCGTTAGTGCTTATGCAATAAGTTATCTAAGGTTGCCACACACAGACTCGGCGACGGCTTATGGGCGCAAGCAAAAGGTGGCCACACTCGCCGCTCTGTGTGTAGCGGTCATTAGTCTGAAATCTCAAAAAAATATAAATAAATACGTCTATCGTCTAGAAACTTCCTTCTCAAAACGTGTGTTCTAAGCCCAAATTATACTACGACAAAATCAGCGTTATCTATGTGAAATGTAGCAGCTATCGTTATGCCAAAGTCAATCAGGGTATTATTAAGGACCCTATAAATGTGAACTGACATGTAACTAGAAATTCACCTGAGCCTTCTGTACTCCTAGCCTGAACTCGATCAAATCTGGTCTTGCGCGCAGCCCTCTGTGATAGAATACGAGGCTCATCTCGAATTCCCCACAGTAGTAAAGTGCTTCTGCTTTCTGCAGCAGTGCTTTTGCGTGCTTGGGGTCCAAGCTGAGCGCTGTTTCGGCATCAGCGAGCGCTCGTCGGGGCTCACCTAGTAGCAAATAGCATTTACTACGCGCTACATACGCTGCTTTCTCCTCAGGAGCTAGTTCAATTGCCTGAAATTTTAAACAACCTTGTTGAAACTTCTATTTTTATGGACAAATCAATAAACTACAACACTTTTAAAAATAACTAATAGGTAGGTACTGTTTTCATTTCTAAAAGTGTCTTTATTAGAGATTTCATAACTACATAAAGTAATACAAAGCATAAATATATTTAGATTCAATCGATACACAATTTGATTATGATATTTTTTTTCAGTTTTATTTGACGAACTCTAATTCGACCATTATAGATAGTACAACTTTCTGGAAAACTACAGCTACAAAATTTAAAGTTTTTGGCTTTTGTTCAGATTACTATTATTCGATACTCATTCTCCAGGTGGTGGATGGTCCATAAATTACATCACCTTGTCGACGAAAGAAACTGCGTTTCTATAACGTTCTCTCATCATTTCCGCGCGAGCTAGCGCAAGTAGAGTACCAGCATCAGCCTCATCAGGAAGCTGAAGAGCACTGCTCCGTTCTGCCTTGTCTTTCAGATTTAAAGACTGTTTTATATCCTTCGAGCCCATGACGACTGCCGCTGCACGATCCTTGTCAGTATATATTTCTTCTTCTCGCCTTCTTTTTTCTCGTTTAGGTTTACGTTCCTTCTTTTTCCGTGATTTAGACGACTCCTTTTGTTCATTATGGGAATACTTATCTTCCTGAACTTCGTCATCGCGTTTTTCCGCTGACTGAGTAACTCTTTTGCTGATGGAAGCTTTCGGAGTCGGGCTTTCTTCTTCTTCTTCCGTGACGCCCACTCTGACGAAACTTTGAAGAAATTCTGCATCTTTCGTCAAGCCTAGGATAGAGCGAGCTTGTTCTATTGCATTTTTCTGACTATCCATTGCTTTTGAGTTCGATTACGAAAGAAATGAAGTGTCACGTTATATAATGTTAAGTGTGTGAGGAGGCGTCGGTATTGACGCCCCGGCTGTCGTATCTATGGTGACGTGAGTGTTTTCGCACCCACTTACTATTCTGTCATACACCAGTCCTTCCTTGGATACCGTTTTGTGACTACATTATGTTATCCTTTTACGGTCCCAATAATTGCTCGTACTCGCAAGAAATTGAAGACTTGAACGTATGGTCACTTTTAAATAAATTTCTTTCTTTCTAACTTCACTCGGATATTGTTACAAAATCTAATATCGTACATAAATATGGATATACATTACCTGGTACTGATGTAATCTCATTGGAGAAATCTACCGAATTGTTCGCGCACAATATTTTGAAAAATAAATGGTAGGAATGAAATTGAATAAACACAAGTGCTAAACTTTTTGAGAAAATATTTGTCATTCAAAGGTTCAACTTTTAATTTCGTAATTTTATATTCGAATTTTGGAATCTTTTGAGTTACTTTTATGTCAGTTATTTCCCAGTTTTAGAAGACTTCTGTAAATTTTTATTACAACGAACTTAGCTATTTATTTTTGTTCTGATTGAGGAGATCTTTCTTCTTTCTTTAAAATCGGATGAAAACGTAAAATGTACGTTGTCAATAGTTTCTTTTCAAAATAATCGACAATGTTACTGTTATCCTTCTTTATTGATAAAAATCTCTATAAAATTACCACTGCAGGGGCTCAGGCCTTCCTTATGGATGGTTGAGGAGGATAGGCCATGACCCTCCACGCTGGCCCAATGCGGATTGGAGAGTATTAACGACTGCAAATTCAACCGGGACCAACGGCTTAACGTGCCTTCCGAAGCACGGAGTAGCTCGAGATAATAATATTTTGATCATCCATCCCGTGACCGACCCTTGCGAAAATTGCTTAACGACTAAGATCGGGGGCCGTGGCGCTTATCCTCTACGCCATCGAGCAACTCAATCAAGCCATCCGATCTAATCGAATCTAATTAGGAGAATGAGACATAACCCACCACGCTGGCCCACGCTGGATTTGTGGGTATAAACGACTGCAGACGCAGTGGACCAACGGCTTAACGTGCCTTCCGAAGCACGAACAACTGAAGAGGCCGAGACAATAAATTTTAGGTTACCCATCCTATGTTCCGCCCTTGCGTTCGCAAACATAACCCGTTAACCACTGGCTCAAGTTTAATTATTAAGCAAGCTGACCTTATCAAGAGACGCTAACGCGCGCTCGTAGTATCTATTTTGGAAGTGTCCAATGGATTCATCGCGGTATTTCTTGGACTCCACCGGGTTGCTAACGGACAGCTCCGGTTCCTTGGCCCGTCCCATGTTTCTTTATACTTCTAGAAGAATATCAAGTATAAAAGGTTATTAAACCTATACTATAACGCACATTAAGAATTTGCGTGTACAAATTGAATGGTTGTAGATGTAATCAGCGGTCCTGGCCAATATCGGTAGCCACTGAAATATTGATATGTCTGCAGCAGACCACTTTGCACTTGCATGATGGGTTCATTATCATGAACCTATTAATACAGGCTTGCCCTATGGGCGGATTTGAATCGGGAGAGGGGACCATGACCCCCTGGGCATTGATGGGTGTTAACAACTGCAGATACAACAGGATTAAATGCCTTAATATGCCTTCCGAAGCACGGAGGAGCTCAAGATAGTAAAATTTTGGTCACCCATCCTATGTCCGGGCCTTGCGAAAGTTGCTTAACTTTCGCATTGCAGACATATAGCGCTGACCACTGGACCGTCGAGCTCTTGATGTTATGAATTACTGGTTTTTTCTGAGTTTCCTTTTTGTTAAACTCCCCGTTAAGATAAGAAATGAAAAGGATATTTAAAACGATTTTTGTGTATTAGTAACCCTTACTTATCATTACATGTTTGTATTGTATTATATAATATGTATTATTATTATTCACATAATTTGTTTTGTTATTAATTTTATATACATTACTAATTTACACACAAAAAGAACTACGACAGATATATAACGACCCGCAAGTTGCACGAGTTATGGTTTTTATTTTGTATTTCTCTTTTCTTTCCTGCATGCAATGCACTTTTGTTGTTGGAAGTCATGTAAAGGTTTAAAACGCTTAAAAAATATGGGTTTTTTCTCCTTGTCTCTCTTTTACTTATAAATGATGACAAGTAAAATATAGAGGAATTAGTTCAAGTTGTAGGTACATATATCGTTGATTTTGAATAAGATATGAGAAATGAACTGGCCTACATTGTCTCGGTTTGAACAATGCCTAATTAAAAAGGTATAAAATCATAACCCTCCTTTTCGCTTCACCATAGTAATTGGAAAATTAAAAGGTTTTATTTCATTGTGTTACAAGCACTTGTAAATGTTGAAAGCTACGCCATTGGTTCGCAAATCTACGGCGGGTGACACTGAGAATAACCGGCAAGAAACTCAGCAACCGCTGCTTTTCCCCCTCTTTTATTTCATATAAAGAAGTCTTTATTCTGTTCCTGATATTTATTGTTAATTGAATTATTTTTATCATTGACATTATTTATTCTATTCATACAATATGTTATGTCCCGTAATACTTATACCTAAACCGTTTTGCAAACTTAGTAATGGTTTTTGCTAAGTGTGTTATCGCTATAAATTGTTGAACATTTTTTATGTGACCATATTTAAAGCAAATAAATTCATTCATTCGTTCTAATTGGAAAGTTCACTTCCCATAAATATATCAGAAATAACAATACAGATTTTTTTTTCTATAATCGAATAATATGCTGCTTGTCGAGTCCCCCGGACTTGTCTTGTCCGGGCGACTTGGCCAAATGGGAGAGTTGAGCTACTTCTCAAAATTAATACAGTCTTAGATCATGTACGGAAGACCAATAATATATGTGTCACTATTGTACAAAATGCCTGGGTGGTTTAGCTTTCGGATTGGGAAAAGTTCTTTGGTCACTGCTAATAACTAATTTTTAATTAATTAGTAGTTTGAGATTATGACCGTGTTTAAACAAGTAATTTGTATTTTTGTGAATAACGATAGCGATTAATTCTAAATAATAATTATAATTCGAAAACATTACTAATAGAAAAACGATATTGAATCAATAAACAGACATTACCTACTAACGACCCCTGAGAATGAGTTTCCTCAGATGAACTGTCGTTCACGTCTCTCATAGTGGGGAGAGTTGATCCATAAATAACATATATATTAAAATTATAATCTAGTTTCTACACAACATATGATAATTCAAGTGATAGCCGTCGAGTTCGAGGTTTACTGTGAAAATCAGGAAACAAGGTTCGACAAAAATATTTCAAAGTACTTAACCCAATGATTTTGATTTCAAGAACTTACTACTTTGTTTTTCTTGAATACTTCCTCATTGCAAAAATAATAACCTGAAGTACCCGAGCATTAGTCTTGTTTGCGCAAAACATCGATTGTAAATTTGCCTGCTCCAGCCAAGCCTACTTGCAAACAATTTCAATAATAAATTTGATATTGATACCCTAAAAGTCGATAGTCGTAAACAAAACAATTTCATAAACAAGTTCAGTTTAGCAAATGTTTACTCTATTGATTTGATGTCCGATTCACAGTTCACTGATGTGAGCAATTCATACAGATTGGCATTATCATAGTTTATTATATGTGGGCTTACTGAATATATATATATTTTAATTATCTCTCCATATTCGACAGAGGATGATTCTCTACATATTGTAGAATTGAATTTTAATGACAGTATGATTAACTTCATTTTCAACACAACACATAAATGTGACTTGTGACACCGCGAGCTTTTTGACACAATACATAAGGTACATATTTACTTATTTTCTCAGTTTTTTTTTTGTTTTATATCCGTGTGTATTGTGTTGATATGGGCATCATTTTATTAAACCCTAAATATAAATAACGAAACTCAATAACATCGAAGTATTTAGCGATAGTATATTATGGTTTGATTTACAATCAGATAGACAAAGAGTTTTGATGGTTCCGTGAGCTAATGTAATTTATTTTGACTTATCATAGCATCCGCGGTTAATCATGCTGGGTCGAACATTAATTTTGTTCATAAATACATATATATATTTCGTTTTACAATAACATGGTTTTACGCGATTTGTTACCATGAGAACTTTGAGGCAATCTATAAGAGTCAGTGTTATTATTAACAGGTACAACAGCATACTTACTTCTGAAAGAGATTTTACAATTACTAACAATTTTCAGATCGATTGTTTGGGATCATATTTTCCGTTAAACTAAATTCTGCCTCAAAAATATAACAAAGGGTAACCTTATTGTTCTATCCTATTGTTATATCGATTAAACTTTACAAAATTTAAGGTCAAATAACATCGAGTTTGTGTCTACGAATACACTAAATTTACAAATCGTGGCAAACTTAAAGCTCGCGCAACAACCCGAGGAAAAGTAAAGAGGGCCTTTCGCAGTGATACGATCACGTTCATATCCAAAAAGATATGTCACAATGATAGCGAGTTGCAATTACCTATCGGTTTTGCTTATATATTATTGTCACTTCGTTTTTATTTGAATATAGTAAGTACATAACAACTCTGTTTTTTAAGAGAATCCACGTTTTGGATGCATTTTAATACTAACTTTTATTATATAAATTTTAATTAAATGAGTGTTTTGCCTTAAAATATTATACTTTTAGTAAATATTATACTATAACAATCAGTGAAAACTTTACTGATTAATGTGTTATTTTTAAATGTTTCAATTGTATTTATTATAAATATTGTTTGTTTCCCAAATATAATCAAATAAAATAAATACCCCATAAGCTTTATGTAAAATAAATTTTATATTATAGGAAATTGTATTGATTGAACAGTATATCTTTAAAAAAAAGGGTTGTAAATTTTATATATTTTGTTATTATGCCATATATTACACACATATATTACGTGACTTTGCTA